TTTGATAAAGTCTTACCTACCTGTTAAACAGAACTCCCTATGTACACCTGTATTTTTTACCTTAGACAAAGCCTTACCTACCTGTTAAACAGAACTCCTTATGTACACCTGTATTTTTTACCTTTGATAAAGTCTTATTCACCTGTTTACAGCTCGTCTCCAGCATGAGCTGCAGCAACAGGATATACAGGGTGAGGACGAGATCCTCCTTGCCATCGCAGGTATCAAACAGGTAAATCTTATATTAAAACATATTATCGTCTTCCTCATCATTGTAGAAGGAGGGGTTTGGTAAAAGAGATAAGTCATATTTCACATTCAATTTTTGCCCTTTTAATGGCAAAAATAGGGGCATAAATTTGTTACACTTATATAACCCTTTGACGTAGTCCTCAGTGGGTGAAATGAACATGAGGCGTATTGGTGTATAATGGTACAAGGGCAAAAACAACCTAGGGTGAAAATATCTTGGTATGTAGTAAAAGTCTTACATTATACAGGAAAATCTTGTCACGATATTGTCAATCAATTCACAAATTTTTTTTAGTGGTTTCTCGACAAGAAAATTAATGTTAAATGCATTATATAATGAAAGAAGAAAAGGGGTGAATGTGTTGGCCATACATAAGGTTCAACTAGAAGGAAATGTGTTATTTATTTGTAAGATTACACTGTTCTCTGGTTATATTTGTTTATACTAGAAATTATCGGTCTGAGGCTCTGAGGATATATCAGAGGTAAACAAATCGTTCTGTAAAGACATTTTGGAATTTTGATTGTTGATATGAATGTGGTTGTAGGTTCGTGATGTACTAAAGGGAACTCTTAGATTCTCCCAGACCTTAATTGAGGAGGACAACATGCAGATCACCGAGAATCATTACATGGAGGAACCGTCTTCAACTTCCCCAGAGTCAGACACCGAGAAAAAGTCAATGGATGACAAACACCAAGAGATGAAAAGGGGAAGTAAAGGAAAGATGTTTTACATGAGTAGCGAGGAAAATTCTGAAGCCGCCGATTCACCAACAGATGGCGCTGCGAACAGATTCATTAATAAGGATGTGGAATTATGTGACTATAGAATTAGTCGAGGAAAATCGAACACATTTACTGAAAGCAATCGAACATATTGTGTTGAGAGTAAGAGTAGAAGGTCTGCCAGTATGCCCATTCGTAGCCCAAACCCATTGTATAGAGGGGAGTCTTCCGAGGACGATTATGTGTCCTGATTGAGGAGTTGTACAAATTTTCATTCAGAAAATAGGTGTAGATTTACAAGTAGGCATTAATGTTAGAAGTTAGTTTAAATAAGGTAAATTCAGTGTAGGACTCATAAGAAAAAATATGTACAGATATATTTATTTATTTTATGTATATATATAACCTAGTAATATATAAAATGTGATGAGGTACTTTGTTATGTATAAGTCCACAGTATATATGTCAATACCCTGGTACTTTGTTATGTATAAGTCCACAGTATATATGTCAATACCCTGGTACTTTGTTATGTATAAGTCCACAGTATATATGTCAATACCCTGGTACTTTGTTATGTATAAGTCCACAGTATATATGTCAATACCCTGGTACTTTACCCAACATTCCTTTTCATGTTTCTGTGGTTGTACAAGGAACCGTTGTAGTATTGAGGTTGTTCAGCCAGATTGATAGGATATCATGCCAAATACTGCCATTCCCATGTGTGACATGAAAAATAGGCTGATTCAAGATAATAGAGAACTCCTGGAGAAACACTGCCACACTTTACTTCAGATACCACAAGGTTCATACAGTTGTAGCTTATTTTGTGTATTATTAAGTTAATATATTTCTGAATTCTAGAGATTTCTTCATATGTCAGTCTGACGGAAGCTTTATCACAGATTTTAATTCTTCTTCAGGAAAATTTTGTTGTGTTCATTTATCCTTATAAAAGTCATGTTTGTTATTGACTAGTTCGTCAGTTCATACCGCTGTTTGAATCAATGACATGAGGTGACTTTTCTCTTTTTTCCCCACCTGTGTTTTTCTGGGCATTGTTTTTTTATCCATGATAGTAAATCTATTAATTCATTATGTAGGTCAGTAAATTTCATCATGTGGTTGGCCTTCCAGGAGTAGCAGTGTTTGATACATGTTTTATTCACTAACCTCGCCCAAAGGGCCAAGTGACCTATAGGGATACTGTGGCATCTGTTGTCTGTCAACTTTTCCTATAAATTGCAACTGGTCATGAACGACTGAGCAGATTTTAATCAAATTTGGTCTGAAACATTGTTGGGGAAAGGGGAACCATTTTTGTATAAACAGTTTGTCTGAGGGACAGGGCCCAATAGGAAAATCTATCAATTTCTCAAAAATTTATCTTGTACTTCAGGAACTGCAGGATATTGTCTAAATTTTGTCTGAAGCATGCTTAGGAGATGGAATATCAGTTTTGTATAAATGGTGGGTCCCAGCGCCATTGGGGCCAGAAGGATGTGGACCAATAGGGATAATCTAACAATTTCTTAAAATCTATCTTCTTCTGTAGGAATTGCATGATATTGTTAAAATTTTGTGCTTGGGCGAAGGGAAATCAGTTTTGTATGAATGGTGGGTTGAAGCATCCTTTGATGGGAAAGAGAGCAAATTCTTCTGTAGGAATACCTGGATGCTGTCTCAATTTGGCCTGCAGCATGCTTGTGTGAAGAAGAATCTATTTTGTATTAATGTTGAATCTAAGCTCTGTAGGGGGGGAAAGGATGAGGCCAAACAGGCCAAATTCTTTAAAAAAAACATTCCTTATGTTGGAATTGAAGACAATCTTTGTGGAGAGAATTAAGTATTTTACAAATAATGCATCCCTTTTGGAGGAGGGTGAGTCATTAAAATAAATCAAATTCAGCTAACTAAACCAGACAAGCGATACAGGTCCTATGGGCCTCATGTCTACCTGAAATAAGCATCAACATATCATCCTTCTCATACATTCTCAAAACCTGTTGCTACTTCACTGGCTAATCTGTGCTCAGATACATGTATTTAGATTAGATGGAAGGGAGTTATATTTTTGCTCCATTCAGAGTGTCAGAGATATACCTGTAAATGCCTTTCAGCTTGTTTTCCTCATACCAAATACATCACACAAACTAGATAACTGTTTTCTACCTCACTACACAGGAGAGTGAAATGATTGTCAAGTCATATAAATTCTTTCGGATTTTCTTGGCAGATCAACAAACATCATTATACTTCAAAGGTGCACAAGAAAGACTAGGTCACCATCATCATATTCTTTAACTTTGAAGGACAAAGTTGTGACAAGAAAGACTAGGTCACTATAATCATATTCTTTAACTTTGAAGGACAAAGATGTGACAAGAAAGACTAGGTCACCATCATCATATTCTTTAACTTTGAAGGACAAAGTTGTGATAAGAAAGACTAGGTCACTATAATCATATTCTTTAACTTTGAAGGACAAAGATGTGACAAGAAAGACTAGGTCACCATCATCATATTCTTTAACTTTGAAGGACAAAGATGTGATAAGAAAGACTAGGTCACCATCATTATCTTTAACTTTGAAGGACAAAGATGTGACAAGAAAGACTAGGTCACTATAATCATATTCTTTAACTTTGAAGGACAAAGATGTGATAAGAAAGACTAGGTTACCACCATCATATATACTTTTACTTCAAATGGTAAAGGTGTGTCACATTATTTGTCTACTGTTGATTTCATAACTGCTAGAAAACTCTTCTTTGATGTAATGATAGATATTAACTTTCTCTTCACACATAAACGATGAGACATACATAGTAAAAAGTGGACGTGTTATCTTCTATTTCTGATTAAGATGACGGGACTACTTGCTGTCTTTAACTGCTGAATGATATTTTCATCCCTATACGTCTCATTTCAATCCATTCTTGTGATCTGATGTTGGTGGGCTATACAAATTACCCTATGTTCGTTGTCCAACTGTTAATTAAAAATTCTTGTTATCACAGCATGGATCTTTCTCAACTTTCATACATAGGGTCCCCTTCATCCCTAGTCACCCATGATTGATTTTGGGACTGATTAGTAAAACAAAAATAGCAGACAGGCCGTCTTGGATTTTGACTTTAAAAATTTGTTATCGCTATTTCTTGGGAACTATTGAATAGATCTTTCTCTAATTTCATATGTAGGTTCCCCTGGGTCCCTAGTTGTGTTGATTTTGGGACTAATCAGAAATAACAAAACGGGCTTACAGGCAATCTTCCTGGATTTGGCAGTTAAAGATTATTATCACTATTTCTCTTAAGGAATGTTAAAATTTCTTATTAATAGCAAGAATAGAGAAAAGAAAATTCAATTTGTAAAGAACAAACAAAAATCAAACAATGATGAGTGCCAAGATCCCTCAGGGATTTCTTGTTTCATCCTTCTAGGTCTCATTTCAATCCAATTCAAAATTTGTTCACTATTCTAGGTTAAGGTATAAGCAATTAATGTGAGTTGTAAATATATCAAATTAGAGATAATTTTATGTATAATGAAAGTTTATTTACAACATTTTCCTATTAATATAATGTTTAATGTTGTAGACCATTTAATGTTTAAAATGTATCGCCAACTGAGAAGGACTTCAAACATTCTATAAATAGCCTACCACATATGTATATTTCATTTAAATCACCTGATACACATACCGGTATGTATTTTCTATCTCACCATCCAGAATGTGTCTACACTGATAATTTACTAGTTGCCAGGTTTACAAACAGAGGAAGACCTATCCAAACCAGGTTGTTTTATAAACAGAAAACGGTACCAACCAGACCAACTTTCAGGTTCAGATGTTAAAGAAATTCTGTGTTTTCCTTTAGTTTTACAACTAATTTGATAACCAGAAAACCTGGCACCTTAATAGACACAGCTGTATGTATTTCTGTTAAAAAAACCTGTGTAATCAAAAAACCTGAATAAACCAAACTTCAACATGAGTTAAAGTGCAAATTTTCCAGATCAAAATAAACCCATGTAAACTGAAATCTTGTGATTTTTCATTTTGACAGGTTCCAGGGTTTCCTTTTTAGTCTGTGTTTATATAAAATCTGTAGAACTATCAAGTTACTGTACAAATTATCGTAGTGAAGGTTTAAATCAATCTTAGGTGATATATTTTAATGCTGGAAGTAGACTTATTGTGTACATCATGATTAAGGTTGTTTGTGTACAGTTTAAATGTTATCATAAATCTAAGTACTTGGCTGTATATAAACATTTAATTTGTTATATGCAAAGTGCATCTTTTAAAGATGAGTTGTCTTTTTTGTCGTTTTATACCTCCGAGAGAGAGGGTGTACTGACAGTGGTTTTGTTCATCATTTTGTTGACTTTCGCTTGTGCTGCAAATTTTACTGTTTGTTAACTTTGTAATCAAAGTCTTTCATCGAGGATTAATTCTTCAATGACTTCAAAGATTTCATCACAAGTATTAATAACTTAAAGGTTAAGTGATGTCCAAAGTATTCATGTAATTGCAGGTCAGGTTTTGCCTCAGGTAATGTAAGGGTAATTACTGGTAGACTTTTTAACTGGTCAGTTAGAGGTAATTATGACATTTCAGGTAAGCTTTGTTACTGTTAATTATGAGTGTAAATGTAAATTTCTTCAAATCTAATTACAGAGTCACAGGTAAACATGTTCTTGATAGTCTTAAGATAGTATTGTCAAACAATTTTTTTAGTTTTTTTTTGAGTCAGTGTAGTATACATTATACTGTATCATCAACTTACTGAAGTAAATTTTTTCATCTTTTCCATCATAGATTGTATTTGTTTATATGTAAGTTATGATAATATAAACACAATGGACACAAATATCTGTCGGGTACAAGTGATAATTTACAAACCAGCGATGCTGATATTTACTATGCTACTGAAAAGTGCAATAGAAAATTGTTTCCATTTTTATCTTGTAAAATTGATGAATGCTACAAACTATTTACTATAAACAAGTTTTCTCATGAAAATTGTGTTATTTATTTTGTCATTGATGACCTAGTCATCAGTTATATAAAACAACACTCCACATCTACACTCAATCTTCTAAACTTCCTTTTTTGCTACCATTACAAATGTTTCTAGTTTGCAATGCTCTGGTGACATTGTGACCCAGTTGTTAGAGTCACAAGTGATTACACTGAAGACCAGAGTTCAGTTAGGTTATCACATAAAAGATGTGGGTGCTCTATAGTAATCAGGTTGTCTGTCTGCTTGTCCATTTTTGCATCCATATTTAAAGTTCTGTCGGCCATTCTATTCATACTTTAACCAATTTTAGGGCACTTAGGTTAAAGGTGAAGGTCATTCACTGTAAATAGAAAAGCAGCTTCTACAAAATATTTTCAGTTTCACTCAGACTTTCTCTATTGCTTCTTCACAGGGAGTGGTAGCTCTATTTCTTTTCATTTTCAGAGGTTAAAAGAAACAGACTCTTTTGCATTTAATGGGTTTTAACGTAATCACAGCGTTCGTATGTCTGTCTGTCAGCACTTTTGTTTCGGTGTGATAATTGAAGTTTCCTTGGGCCCATCAAGTTCAGACTTCATACATTGCTTCCTTATTCAAAGTGCTTGTGTGGGATGGCTTTTAAAATGTCGAGGTCACTGTTACTTTAAATATAAAATCAGATTCTATGTGAAAACTAGAGTCTGCTTTGGCCGATTAACCCAAAATTTATAAGGTACTTCGTTACTGATAGTGCTTGCTTAGGATTTCTTTACAGTTTTGAAGTTCAAAGGTCAAGGTCACTGTTACAATAAATAGAAAAATCAGTTTCCCTGCGATAATTCAAATTTGACTTGGCCAACCAAACTCAAACCTCATACAACGCTTCTTGATTGTTTTTCAACTTTGAAGGTCAAAAATCAATGTCCCTGATACTGTAAATAGAATCAGTTTGCTTTGGCCAATCAAACTCATACAGTGTTTCCTTACTAAAACATTTTAGGCTTTGGATTGCATTCAGGTCCAAGAATCAATAGTCCAGGTTACTGTTACTCTAAAAAGAAAATTGTGACATGACTTGGGTTCCCTTGGACCAATCAAACTCAAACTTCATACTTTCTTTCTGAAAGTGCTTGCTTTTCAGACTGTTATTATGAATAAAAATATCAGAATATATTTGTTATGTTGGGGTTTTTTGGGGTTTTTTAATTTTTTTTTTTTGTTACAATCTCTCTTCACTTTTGTGGCAGAGAGTACTTAAGGTCTTGCATTAATCTGTCAGACTGGAGTGTATGTGTAAGTGTGGGTTGGAAAGGGAATGCGATTTAGAGCAACATAGTGAGGACCTTGCTGACCTGTCAGTGTTCTAGTTTTTAGGTCATCTGACCCGATGGGCTTCGTCCCTTGTCTTGCACTGTGCATGAACTTTTTCTTTAAAACCCTACTTCTCTGTCATACTTGGATGGATTTCAACCAAATATGGTCTGATGCCTCATTGGGTGAGGGTAATCATTTCCTTAATTCAGAAAGTTGATTCAACACCTAGGGACTTTGAGCGGGACTCAAAAGGGCAAGTTAGACAAGATTTTGGCTTCATCATACTTCTCTTTCTTAATGCTTATCTTTTCTCTTGTATGTTCTTCCTCTAAGAAATTGATAAGAAATTTGAACATTCCTTTACAGAAATAACATAAATAATCCATGATGGTCACCTGAAAGCCATATTGTTTTTCTTATCAGTCCTTTAAAAAAACCTGCACAACCTATATATTAGATTTGAAAGAGATCCATCCAGTACTTCTCAAGAACTAACAATTACATACTTTCATTGTTGAAATCCAAGATGGCCTACTATTGGCCATTTTGTTTTTCTCATCAGTCCCAAAATCGAACGGGCAAAACAAGTAGACAAAGGGGAACCTGTTTGTGAAAGAGGTATCAATCCAGTACCTCTGGAGAAATAGTAATAACAATCTTCATTGTTATAATCAAAGATGGCCACCTATCCACCATGTCTTGTTTCTGATCTGACCCAAAATCAAATGACACAACTTGGGACAAATGTTGAAGCTACATAAAAAATTTGAAAAAGATCTATCCAGTTCTTCTCAGGAAAAAACAGTAACAGAAGTGTTTCCCAACAGATCAGGAGTGAAATGTGATTTGAATAGTCCACCATCTGATTTTGGTGAGGTAAAAGTCTTCTGACTAAAAGGTCACCAGGTCAGATGTGAAGGTCAAATTTTAAATATAATTCACAGGCAAATTATTGTATCTATAAAGCATTAAACTTAAATTCAATATCAAAGAACACTGGGTTTTGAGTTTGACACAATGCTGGGGCCCTTCCTGATGTTTGTAAATACTCCAGTTTCTGTCAACACACCTTAAAGAAATACTGTAAATCTATTGTGCTAATTTGCCAAAAAGTAAAAAATGTGCTAAAATTTGCACTAAATTAAGCACCTCCACACCAAGACTTTGTCTTCCCCTGTTCCTTCACTGATTAATCACATACCAGAAAACAACTGCAATTGCATTAGGGATAGCTGCATGCAATCCTATTACCTCACAATATGGTATCACCTATTCTAGTCCAATTTGTTCAGTATGTACAAAAACCATAAACAATATTTACTGTGATTTCAGAGTCAATTTAATATCCTAATTTCCATGCTGATTAAATGATACACATTTTATACATCATAAACAACAACAAAAATCTGTACACATTGACAGTTTATCACCTTAACAGTAATGGTAAATACTTCCTGTAATAAGCACACAAATACATTATCTCTGACTCAAGCAAAACTCCTAACAAAACAATATCATATTTTTGGTTATTCCTTTTAGCAGCAATAAATGGGGGTGGGCTTATTACCTGGCACAGGTTCCTTGCAGAATAAATACTGTAAATATAAACATAATTAGGAAGTTTGTACCTGTAACACTAAGTTACCTGTATGAAAATAAACGTGTGCTTTTGGTTATTGAATCTGGAGGGTGTAGAGGACATAAAAAATAAAACCCAGCTGATATTTGCAGGGATCTACTGACAAGTTTTATACAGATATTTAATGAAAATTCAATAAAATCCCACATTGTTGGTTTAAAATCAACAAGTTAAGAGACATACATGTAGTGACTGGTGAGTATATTCAATGTATATATAATGTCCATTTGAATTTTAGGTATTTACGCTTCTTAGTATCTGGTAACCTATCTGCTGTATATCCTATAATCTTATAACAGCTGAGCATGCCAGAGTTATGTCCCTGCAATGTCTCTTGTAACAGCTGAGCATGCCAGAGTTATGTCCCTGCAATGTCCCTTGTAACAGCTGAGCATGCCAGAGTTATGTCCCTCATATATTACTAAAATTGATAGTGATATCGAGTCACTGGCTTTACAATCACAAATTTCTAATCCAGTGTTTCTTTAGTTATAATATTTAATATTACATCTTATAATCAGGTTTGTGAGGCCTTACATGAGCACTAGATATTATAGTTATCAGGTTTGTGAGGCCTTACAGGAGCACTAGATATTATAGATATCAGGTTGGTGAGGCCTTACAGGAGCACTAGATATTATAGATATCTGATTTGTGAGGCCTTACTGGAGCACTAGATATTATAGATATCAGGTTTGTGAGGCCTTACAGGAGCACTAGATATTATAGTTATCAGGTTTGTGAGGCCTTACAGGAGCACTAGATATTATAGATATCAGGTTTGTGAGGCCTTACAGGAGCACTAGATATTATAGATATCAGGTTTGTGAGGCCTTACTGGAGCACTAGATATTATAGATATCAGGTTGGTGAGGCCTTACAGGAGCACTAGATATTATAGTTATCAGGTTTGTGAGGCCTTACAGGAGCACTAGATATTATAGATATCAGGTTTGTGAGGCCTTACAGGAGCACTAGATATTATAGATATCAGGTTTGTGAGGCCTTACAGGAGCACTAGATATTATAGATATCAGGTTTGTGAGGCCTTACTGGAGCACTAGATATTATAGATATCAGGTTTGTGAGGCCTTACAGGAGCACTAGATATTATAGATATCAGGTTGGTGAGGCCTTACAGGAGCACTAGATATTATAGATATCAGGTTTGTGAGGCCTTACTGGAGCACTAGATATTATAGATATCAGGTTTGTGAGGCCTTACAGGAGCACTAGATATTATAGATATCTGGTTTGTGAGGCCTTACTCGAGCACTAGATATTATAGATATCAGGTTTGTGAGGCCTTACTGGAGCACTAGATATTATAGATATCAGGTTTGTGAGGCCTTACAGGAGCACTAGATATTATAGATATCAGGTTTGTGAGGCCTTACAGGAGCACTAGATATTATAGATATCAGGTTTGTGAGGCCTTACAGCACTAGATATTATAGATATCAGGTTTGTGAGGCCTTACTGGAGCACTAGATATTATAGATATCAGGTTGGTGAGGCCTTACAGGAGCACTAGATATTATAGATATCAGGTTTGTGAGGCCTTACAGGAGCACTAGATATTATAGATATCAGGTTTGTGAGGCCTTACAGGAGCACTAGATATTATAGTTATCAGGTTTGTGAGGCCTTACAGGAGCACTAGATATTATAGATATCAGGTTTGTGAGGCCTTACAGGAGCACTAGATATTATAGATATCAGGTTTGTGAGGCCTTACTGGAGCACTAGATATTATAGATATCAGGTTTGTGAGGCCTTACAGGAGCACTAGATATTATAGTTATCAGGTTTGTGAGGCCTTACATGAGCACTAGATATTATAGATATCAGGTTTGTGAGGCCTTACAGGAGCACTAGATATTATAGTTATCAGGTTTGTGAGGCCTTACAGGAGCACTAGATATTATAGATATCAGGTTTGTGAGGCCTTACAGGAGCACTAGATATTATAGTTATCAGGTTTGTGAGGCCTTACAGGAGCACTAGATATTATAGATATCAGGTTTGTGAGGCCTTACAGGAGCACTAGATATTATAGATATCAGGTTTGTGAGGCCTTACTGGAGCACTAGATATTATAGATATCAGGTTTGTGAGGCCTTACAGGAGCACTAGATATTATAGATATCAGGTTTGTGAGGCCTTACAGGAGCACTAGATATTATAGATATCAGGTTTGTGAGGCCTCACAGGAGCACTAGATATTATAGATATCAGGTTTGTGAGGCCTTACAGGAGCACTAGATATTATAGATATCAGGTTTGTGAGGCCTTACTGGAGCACTAGATATTATAGTTATCAGGTTTGTGAGGCCTTACAGGAGCACTAGATATTATAGATATCAGGTTTGTGAGGCCTTACTGGAGCACTAGATATTATAGATATCAGGTTTGTGAGGCCTTGCTGGAGCACTAGATATTATAGATATCAGGTTTGTGAGGCCTTACTGGAGCACTAGATATTATAGTTATCAGGTTTGTGAGGCCTTACAGGAGCACTAGATATTATAGATATCAGGTTTGTGAGGCCTTACAGGAGCACTAGATACAGGAGCACTAGATATTATAGATATCAGGTTTGTGAGGCCTTACAGGAGCACTAGATATTATAGATATCAGGTTTGTGAGGCCTTACAGGAGCACTAGATACAGGAGCACTAGATATTATAGATATCAGGTTTGTGAGGCCTTACAGGAGCACTAGATATTATAGATATCAGGTTTGTGAGGCCTTACAGGAGCACTAGATATTATAGTTATCAGGTTTGTGAGGCCTTACTGGAGCACTAGATATTATAGATATCAGGTTGGTGAGGCCTTCCAGGAGCACTAGATATTATAGATATCAGGTTTGTGAGGCCTTACTGGAGCACTAGATATTATAGATATCAGGTTTGTGAGGCCTTACTGGAGCACTAGATATTATAGATATCAGGTTGGTGAGGCCTTACAGGAGCACTAGATATTATAGTTATCAGGTTTGTGAGGCCTTACTGGAGCACTAGATATTATAGATATCAGGTTTGTGAGGCCTTACAGGAGCACTAGAAATTATAGATATCTGGTTTGTGAGGCCTTACAGGAGCACTAGATATTATAGATATCAGGTTTGTGAGGCCTTACAGGAGCACTAGATATTATAGATATCAGGTTGGTGAGGCCTTCCAGGAGCACTAGATATTATAGATATCAGGTTTGTGAGGCCTTACAGGAGCACTAGATATTATAGTTATCAGGTTTGTGAGGCCTTACAGGAGCACTAGATATTATAGATATCAGGTTTGTGAGGCCTTACAGGAGCACTAGATATTATAGATATCAGGTTTGTGAGGCCTTACAGCACTAGATATTATAGTTATCAGGTTTGTGAGGCCTTACAGGAGCACTAGATATTATAGATATCAGGTTGGTGAGGCCTTACAGGAGCACTAGATATTATAGATATCAGGTTGGTGAGGCCTTACAGGAGCACTAGATATTATAGATATCAGGTTTGTGAGGCCTTACTGGAGCACTAGATATTATAGATATCAGGTTTGTGAGGCCTTACAGGAGCACTAGATATTATAGATATCAGGTTGGTGAGGCCTTACAGCACTAGATATTATAGTTATCAGGTTTGTGAGGCCTTACAGGAGCACTAGATATTATAGATATCAGGTTTGTGAGGCCTTACAGGAGCACTAGATATTATAGATATCAGGTTTGTGAGGCCTTACAGGAGCACTGGATATTATAGTTATCAGGTTTGTGAGGCCTTACATGAGCACTAGATATTATAGATATCAGGTTTGTGAGGCCTTACATGAGCACTAGATATTATAGATATCAGGTTTGTGAGGCCTTACATGAGCACTAGATATTATAGATATCAGGTTTGTGAGGCCCTACAGGAGCACTGGATATTATAGATATCAGGTTTGTGAGGCCTTACAGGAGCACTAGATATTATAGATATCAGGTTTGTGAGGCCTTACAGGAGCACTAGATATTATAGATATCAGGTTTGTGAGGCCTTACTGGAGCACTAGATATTATAGTTATCAGGTTGGTGAGGCCTTACAGGAGCACTAGATATTATAGATATCAGGTTTGTGAGGCCTTACAGGAGCACTAGATATTATAGATATCAGGTTTGTGAGGCCTTACTGGAGCACTAGATATTATAGATATCAGGTTTGTGAGGCCTTACAGGAGCACTAGAAATTATAGATATCTGGTTTGTGAGGCCTTACTGGAGCACTAGATATTATAGTTATCAGGTTTGTGAGGCCTTACAGGAGCACTAGATATTATAGATATCAGGTTTGTGAGGCCTTACAGGAGCACTAGATATTATAGATATCAGGTTTGTGAGGCCTTACTGGAGCACTAGATATTATAGATATCAGGTTGGTGAGGCCTTACAGGAGCACTAGATATTATAGTTATCAGGTTTGTGAGGCCCTGTATGTTCATAACATCAAAACACATTGTACAGATACATGTTGATAAACAGAGTACAGTGAGGGATTATTGTTACTAATAAAGCCTCATATATGGGAAAATCAGCCTTAAAAAAGAGATCTAAAGAAAGCCTCACATATCAACACATCACTTACAAATGTGGATTACAAAAATAAGCTTATGGCTTGAAAATTTCATACAGACAAATTAGCCTATAAAAGGTGGAGTAAGAAACAGGCCTGAAATAAAGGCTCTCTCAGCCTTCCCAACCTTTCAAAGGATGTCAAATAAATTAATTATAATTCATATAGGACCCCCTACTGCAGTATCTACATCCAGCATCAGTTACCTAGGTTACCAAGTTTAAACTGAAGCCTTCATTAAAATGTGTGTCACATCAAAGATATCTACGGTAGGGGCTGTACCACTGTGTTGATTATAATTGATATAGGAATTCTTGATATAGGAATTCATCCTGTCATCTTAATATAGATTTTAAATTTCATTATTCAAATTTAATTAGTTATTTAAATTAGTCAGCTTACAATTATGACAACAATTATTTTACTTTTTTCATTATTTCTGTGATTATGTAACACGTAAACTCACTCTGACAAGGAATAAAAATCTCTGAGAGATACATAACCATTGATAGTCTATATCAATCAGCAGTGATCCAATTGTTTCATTCAGTTAGATTTAATTTTGGCTTTAAATGTATTTAGATCATATTCTTTGTTGTGTTATAACAGTTTTTTAATTTAAGCTGATTTTGAATGACCAAATTTTGATTTAAAGCAAAGAAATATCAGGTACACTGTAAATCCAACATTTTCCACTATCATTAGGTAAACATTGGAATATCCAGATACAGTTAGGCAAGATGGCGACACTGGTAATTGATGGGTGATTGACCCAAATCACATCCTCCAAACACTCAAGTATGTAAAAGGTGTGCCTACTTCCAAATAATTAGTTGAGTTCTTATTTAGTCAAATCTGTAATCATACATCTAACGTCCATTTCAACACAGCAGTACAGACAATAAAACCTTCCTAAACCTCAAACCCGACCAAATATGTCCATCCTAGATACTTCATCACCACCACCATTGATATATGAACTAGGCGGTCACTGTCTGGTCAGGTTTATGTTATAGGAAGGTGTTTACGAGGATCAAGTCACTCGTAAGCCTTGTGCCCATTCAGGTGGTTTACAGTCATACGATATTGCTTCACCACATGTTTGAGAGTTATCCCCCTTACTTGCACCACTGCTTGGCCCAGCTGCTCCAGCTGTAAATGATAAAAAAATCATGTATATTTTTTGTGATTCTGATCGTGGAGAATATATGTTGCAAAAACCTGTTGTTGTGACATTGATTTACAACATAATCAATTTCCACATAGCATTGAATCCATTTGAATTATAGCATTTGATCTAATAATTTTTTTACAATTCCTCAGATTATAAATTTTTTGTTAAAAATTTCAGAAACTACTGTTATCTAAATCACCATTAATAATTATTAATCTTACAACAGATTTACAAATGGAAACCATAATGTCAACCTCTCAAGAGTTGAATATCTGGTTGTGACTAGCTAAAACAACGGTGAAAGGGTTATGTGCGTAATTTCTCATCATTTTCCCTGACATTTTTTCACTAAGACATCGAGCATGAAACATCAACAGTAATAAGTCAAACACTTCATAATAGTAATTATATACAATACTGTATTCATTACATCTTTATTATAGATTTACAAAATGAAAATTTAATTATTGGAACAACATGAAGTACAGAAAAAAAGTAAAATAGAAAGAATTATTGAAAGGTTACAGACTGATGGAAGAACAGGATTGTTTATACTTTGTCTACCTTAACACACTTCCCTTACTTACCCGAATCTGAGTCTGTGGTGGAGGTGCTGCCACCTAATGACAGACCTGAAAAGCTGCCAAGGTCAACAGCTTCACTGAATGGATTTTCCAGTAACTTCAGCACTCGCTGTACTTCAGAGTAATCTCCCTTCTCTGCAGCTTTAATTGCATTCTCAGCAATATAGTTCCTCAGAATAAATCTACAAAAAATAAAACATTTTCTGATACACATGAAAAGGCAAATTATCTGCCTAATGTAAATTCATCATAAATTTATTATTGAAGAAAATTCACAAAAGTCTGCGAGTAATCTATAACGAGAGATAAAATTGGTATTTTAGATTGTTGATTGTGTTTAAAATAAACTTCATAATGAGATTTGTATGTACATGTAACTGATCAAAGTGGATAACGACAAGTGGTTCATAACCCAGGTAGAAGTTTTTTTTTTGCTTCAATTATTCTCTGTAAGAGGACTACAATGTCTCCTGCAGCATTGACAGAAGATCAACTACAGTATAATTATAGATACTTGTAGATTTATCATATCTTGCCTTTTACTTTTTTCACTTTTTTAATCTAGCTGAGAGTTCCCCGCAAATATTGAAATTATGTAATTAAAATCAAAATAAGAATAACTTGATGTAATTACCTTGGATTTACAGAGTTCATGACCTCTGACCTCTGTTTAGTTGCACTCTCAAGGTCACTGCAGTCTTTGACCTCTAGCTTCAGTCTCTCTGTGTACTGTGTTAACCATTCTGTCCATAGTTTTTTGTCTTCCTCTTGTTTAGATTTTTGTGTCAAGTCCTGGAAATATAACAAGATTTATCTAAGACAAAGTTAACAGTGGTTGACATCTTACTAACCTGCTGAAGCATACTCATGCATGCCTTGCCCATTGTGGCACTTTATAAAGGAACACATTTTGTCATATTAAGCTTAAGATCAATTCACTTCAGTAAACTGGATGCTTATTTTGAAAGTTTAAGATTTTGTGAGACTGATATCATTGATTGCGGGGACTATCTCATACACAATCTGACACAAACAAGGATTTGACAATTTATTTATAAAAAAACAACAGTATATGCAATAACTGTTTATATTATGTAAACTATCCACGTCAATAACATGCAAAATCAGGACAAAGTGTTTAAAACCAATGGCAGAGACAGTGCCCTGTTCAGGACATGTATAAAACCATATCATTGGCAGAGACAGTGCCCTGTTCAGGACATGTATCAAACCATATCATTGGCAGAGACAGTGCCCTGTTCAGGACATGTATAAAACCATATCATTGGCACAGACAGTGCCCTGTTCAGGACATGTATAAAACCATATCATTGGCACAGACAGTGCCCTGTTCAGGACATGTATAAAACCATATCATTGGCACAGACAGTGCCCTGTTCAGGACATGTATAAAACCATATCATTGGCACAGACAGTGCCCTGTTCAGGACATGTATAAAACCATATCATTGGCAGAGACAGTGCCCTGTTCAGGACATGTATAAAACCATATCATTGGCAGAGACAGTGCCCTGTTCAGGACATGTATAAAACCATATCATTGGCAGAGATAGTGCCCTGTTCAGGACATGTATAAAACCATATCATTGGCAGAGACAGTGCCCTATTCAGGACATTGAAAAATATGTCAATTATATTGCATCTCTTTTGAAACACTCATATGTTCAACTTTTAAGAATTGACTGGTATCATTTAATTCTCCTTCACATTGGATATCACGATGAACTAGAAACACATGTCTGTATTCATGTGTATTAGTGGAAGTTAGCGTTGACATAAGTATGCCAAGTGTTGATTGAGACTTATCATCGGATCATGGATTTAACTCATTATTTATGAATATTGGTCTTATTGATGCTTACAAAGCATATATTGTCTAATGATAAAGAGGGAACAGTCTTGGTGCAATTATCTTATCCAAATGTGTAATCAAACGCTGTTCTTCTTTTGACATTACCAGTACACATATGTAAAACTACAGTACCATATGATTCCATTCTGTGCTCTGTATACTGATTGCTTATATATACAGATTTGGGGCCTTAATTTATGTCAGCTGGAATGCGCACCATGTGAAAGTGAGACATGGAAAAAACGACGACTTGCTGAGATCGTAATTACCTGGTTTGTAATGAATAGGTATGACTTGTACCTGTGATTTTAACATTTGATTGGGCCTGGTGTGAAGACAAGTGTTTGTGTACGCAAGATATATAATTCTAGGTTAATTGGAAAGGTACAGAGGTAAGTAAATGATAAAGTGTAACATGTCTGATGTCAAACAAACAAGAACTTCACAAACATTCAGTAGTAGTTTTCCTTCAATTGTATTGTACCTATAATTAAACAGAAGGTAATTAAAGATTAGTAACTGAGATGAAAACAAATTTTGGACTTTATATCGTTGGTCTGATGTGTTTGCTAAACATTCTGCGATTGATTTCTTTGCTCCCAGTGATCGATTCTGACTAATGCGCACATTATGCATGTCACATCTTTTACCATTTTCAGTCCCAAACAGTAGAACCTGTGCATGTTACATAGGTACACACATTACCCAGGTTTTTATGATATAACTGAGCCCGTATTTCTTAATAAGAAATCTCACCTGAAGATGCTTAGCTTTTTCCATTTTCTCTATCTCCTTAACAAAGGCACTTAACCCCCGTCCCAAAGCATTCAGGAGGCCTGGGTTAGTCTGCATCAACATCATAAACATCTGCAGTTGTCTGTATAAATATAAACAACACCTGTTAACACATTATACCAAGGAGAAGCCCCTGGACTAGCAGGATGTGTTACCTTATAATCCTAAAATAAATCTCAAGTTAAATTACAAAGTTTCCAGAGAAGTTACAGAATGTTGGCCCAAGAATGATATAAACTAATATTGTACCTAAAGATGTTCAAATTAAAATACAAAATTACCTTATCTAATGAAATATTCTTATTTTACTGATGGAGCAACCTTCTTTGTGAGATATAAATTCTGTCATCTTTGGTCTGGCCACACAGTTATTCCGAGTACCATTTTAAATCCATGATATCTTGATGTCATATGATTTACCTTGGATCCATTGTAGGTTTACAAGACAATTTCAGTTCTTCCACTGTGGCACACTGGGATAGAATGTACTCTGTCACCTCAGCGACAGCTGAGTCATAATCTGTATTTCCTGGTAAGGGCAGACGACTGAGACAACGGAAAGTATTTGTGAAGTCTGCTCCTGTTGTTTTCATTGTCTCCAAGAGCTTCTCAACAAGTAAACTGAAAATGTACATGTTGATTTCAAGTTAGTTAGAAGTTATTCAAAATAGATCTTAGCCAATTAAGCTAATGAAGTCAAAATGAATCAAACAAATGTGACAAAAATATAACTTTTCAAAAACACTGGACCTTCAAAACTTATCTTATGTCTATGAAATTTTAAAGTACAGTGAAACCTCGCTATTAAGACCACTTTGGGGACTGGACAAAAGTGGTCTTAATAGCGAGGTGGTCTTAATAGTGAGGTGGATCAGATTGACCGCAAAGCAAAGGAATATCGGCTGAAAAGACTACATAATTCACTTTTGGGTATGCAGGGCTTCTAAGGTGTTTAACAGCATACCTACCGATATATCAATATATAATTAACAAACAATAGATCGCTATTAAAACGTGTCTGGCACGCGGTTTCAGACGGGTAGGCCAAGTTAATCCAATAATGATGTTTACTTCGTGTAACGCCACCTGGTGACAGGGTCGGTAATCCCTGACGAAAACAATGGTCGTGAACGACACCTTCGCGGTTCACTGCGCACCAGGTAAAATTTAATCACTGGTCGGAAATTGGTCGTAATTGTGAGGTCAATTATCGTTAATTAGTGGTCATTGGGACTGTAAGAAGTGGTCGTAATACGGAATAGCCGGGTGGTCGTAATACTGAAGCGACCAATACAAAGATAGATAGTGGAAAAAAACGGGACTGAAAAAAGTGCCCGTAATAGCGGGGTGGTTGTAATTTTAAGGTGGTCGTTAGGTGAGGTTTCACTGTATATCATGAATTTTGTATTATATCTAGAAGTGCCTGTAAAATTTCATATTTGTGTGATATTTTTTCCTTTCTCTAAAATATCCCTCTGCACAGTAAATTGCCATTTTCTGCCATGCCATATTTAATATAACTACAGTACATATGCTGCTATGAGGACTAACCTCACAGTTTAATGACATGTATTTTAAAACATCAGACATATTGCTGAATGCATTTTGTTGTTAAATTTGTATCTAATTTTTGGTAGACATCAATCCAAGCAGCTACATATAGTATCATTAAATACACTGTAGTACAGTACCTCATTTCTTTAGTGAACAAAGCAGATATGACTAAAATACCTACCCATCCTCCTGTAGTTCTGTTTTCAACAATCCCAACTGAAATTACATAAAAATTCATTAAAACATAACAGGAACAATAAGAACTATTCTCAGTATTTTGCTAATGATACAAAACTTACACACCATCCTCCTGACATACCACTCAATTCTCCTGACATACCACTCAATCCTCCTGACATACCACTCAATTCTCCTGACATACCACTCAATTCTCCTGACATACCACTCAATTTCACAGGTGAAAATTTGATTTTATCCTAGATAAAATTTAGGATTTTAACCTTTAATACAGACATCGAAAAACTCCTACAATATACATGTTTACACTAACAGCATGTGTAATCAAAACTACCAGGTACTTGAAATTATTGTGAAACTTCATTCACAATAAAAAGTTTACTAACCTTTTTCCTCATTTTTTGTGTGTAGTGTCGTGAAAATTCCTCATCAAATATTCCTAGTTCTTTTTCTGTTTCGGATAGAGGAATGGCCTCCTGTATAGCTTCAGCTAACTTTTGACAGTTCCATTTACAAATCTCTGGTTGTTTTTGATACGTGTATCTACCACCATCATCTAAATCATAATAAATACGTAAAATATACATGTGTACTTAGTAAATAGATCTTAAATAATTCTATAAAAGTACTTATATCTCAGAGAGATCATTCACAACAAGTGATGAAGCAGCTTCAGAAATTCAGAAATTTTTTGATTGTACATACAATGTATGTCTTGATAAAACCTTCAAAGAAAGAGAAACCAATTGATTTAGTAATAAATTTATGAGCCCACACCCATCACCTGTTGTGAATGATCCCTCTGAACTTACATGTAGGTAAAGTATCTTATCAATCACCAGTAGCATACCCCCAGTTATCCAGACAGGGGCTAAGAAATCTGGTTTCCACCATTAAAATATGATGAGCGGTACATTGAAAATTATTTCATTTTCTGCATTTTCTCACTTAGATAAAAAGAGTTTTTTCCTTACAATAAGCCCATGCCTGATAATGAGTCCATCCATATATAATACCGACAATAAGGATTGTTCTGTAATAAGCACACCCCCAACTCACACCCCTTGTATCATAGCTAATATGTTGGCTTATTGCAGTAATACATTAATATCATAACTAAGTCAATAGTCTTCACATTGTAACAAAATTTTAATTGTAGCTAATCACCATTCAATTTCCCACAGTGAAATCTTGAGAAAGCATGAGAAAGTTTGCTGTATTGAAGGAAGAGCTCACCTGAAGCGTTACAGATGAAATCCGGGTCATACCGGTCCATGAATCCATAAGGCCCATAATCTATTGTAACACCACATATACTCATGTTGTCTGTATTAAGCACCCTGAAAAGTTCATTAATTCACAGACAAAACCATCAATTTACATGATACATTGAAGTACCACAATAATTGTCACAACCAGACCATCTGACAAAGAAGTCACGTGAGTTCTGTATCCTTCTTTCATCCTTACACAAACTTTACACACAACTTTTTATTCTCTTTGTCATGTAACTGTCACCAACAATATATGTATAATTATCTTCAGCATTTCTTAACATTTGATTTTATGACATTTACATGTACTTAAGATAATTTTTTTTTCATACTTGCATAGAATCAAAACCAACGTTGGTGAAATATTAAAGGTCACTAACAACAGTGTTTTGCAGGTACCAAGCGGTAGTGACTGGTGTAAACACAGTGGATGTCTCATATAATATGGTAGTTTTATAATCTGTCTTATTTCAGCAGTGATGGTACACTGTGTTGTGTAGAGGTATTATAAAACTAGTGAAACATCATACACTGTTGATGTTCATGGCAACTAAATATTAAATTACAAAATGATATGGAAAAAATGCAAAACCTAACACAGCCAAGACAAAAAATAACTAACAATTCGATCGAGGGAACTCTTCTATATCTGCCGAATATGTTAATTGGAAGACACATATTTCAGCTGGTGCTGACATCCATTTCATATCATACATACGCCTGGGTGAACACCTTGACATACGGATGACAAATTTATAACTCAGTCTCAGATAACGCCTTAAAAATGCTAGATATGATACAACACAAAGCATTTAGAATAGCAACAGACATAAAAAAACACACCTACTATAAGTCTACATGCAGAAAGTAGTGAAATACCATTAAAGTTAGGAGAGAAAAATTAAAATTGAAATACTGGGCTAGATCTCAAACTCTAGGACCTGAATTTCTACCTAATGTTAGAGTTGAAAAGCTAAGGATATTAGATGACTCATACTGACCAATCTGTGCTCCATTTACACTAGTGCTATATAGAATTACATTAAGATTAGGTTATGATTGAATAAATATGTGTTTAATTGATAAAACATATATGAGGAAAGATTTTGAAAGTTTCAGTACAAGGAAAAAAGACGAGTAATATGATTTGAATTGAGTGGACAAAAACATACCCATGACACCATCCTACACACTGCCATTCTGCCACCAGACGTCCCGTTCTTTTCACAACTTCCCGGAAAAACTCAAGGTACATCTTTTGTTTATCCTCTTTAAGTCTATCCCAGATCTAAAAAAAAGCATGAAGAATTATACACACCTAGATATTGCTGAAGATTTCACTCTTTAATCTTCAATACTTACAAGAATCTAAAATTATAAGCAAAAATTACACATTTAAAAAAATTCTTTCATAAGATTATCACCATATTCATATTTTGTAATTCCTATCATATTGTAATCAGTATGACATCAATGGCTGCAAGCTCAGAGAAAAGCCTTTAGTATTCTTTTTTTTTTGTCACACTTCCAGAGTCAGTTTACAACAACTATTCAAGTTAAGTTTCATACTCTAGATAAACTGAATTATCTAATAACAAGAAGTGACATAATGTTTTCAATAAAAAATAGAAGGTCATTTATTGTCCTGTTTATCGTAAATGTTACCATTTTGATAATTGCAAGAATGCCTGCAAGGACAAGGGTATTTATACAGTATTAAGCCTATTTGTTTGCTATGTTTATTGTCCTTTCAACAATAAGGGTAATTTTTACCTTGAAGTAGCTGGTGGCTACTTCACTGAACAACATACAGGAGGCCAATATGGGAGTACTATGGGTAAAATGTCTTGCCAAGGACAACACCATGACAACAAAACCCAGACCATTTCTCAGCTTCCTAAGAAACACAAACTGCCAGCGTAAGTGAGCTTCAAACCATGTATCTCAGGTCTTCACATGGAGTTGTCTGACACTCTATCTACTATGTAATAGCTGTGTTATTTTACTTCCGACTTGATGCAAGAATGAGCTTAGAGCCAGAGAGATATTGTAAGGTAACATCTCCAGCTCCTAATGACACATTATAACAACTCAGTAATAAGACTATGAAATTTTTTTATATCAATGGTGTGACTTACCTCTGTGTAGAATGTTTCAACTGTGTAATCTAGCATCTGTATCAGAATATCTGTCTTGCCTACACTAGGGCCTTTCCTTCCAGTCTCAGGGTCCATAGGTTTGAAAATCTCAAATGATCCAAACCTGCAGAATATTCAACAGATGGTTGTACATTATGATACATAACTAATAAAATTCACATATTTATGGATGTAATAGAAATATAATTACAGTTCTGTGATCCTTAAAGATAGATTTTCCAGTCCTGACTGAAAATTCAAAAACATTTCGCTATCGATCAGAAAATGTTGATTCTTAAGAGTGAAAACAGTCTATTAAATACTGTGTAAATGAAAATCCGCCATATTCTGCATGTTGAACCTCACCTCAGAAATGTTGGTGCAATTCTCAGAACAATCGTGCATCTCTCTTGTATAGGGTGACCGTCATAAAAGATGTCACGAACTACCCTCGTGTCAGAGGTCACACAAGTCCCAGCTCTCGTAGTAGGAATACCAAGGTTATGGATTGCCTAAGGTAAAAAATTCATTAACTTCAAATCAATTTTTTTATTATAGCAAACTTCATTTCATTAAAAAAATTTTCTTCGCTGTTGTTAGAAAACTCACTTGTTCATGATAGCTGTTACAACATATATTTCATTTTTTATATTTTATTCCAAAGAAACTGAACATTACCTTATTTTAATTCATTGCTTAAACACCTGCAATATTAGGGCATCCTATATGTGGAAAAAGCCAGAGCAAGCTTTTGACATCTCGCATCTGTCCAAACACCAGTTTAGTATTGAAGTACCCCAGCTGGATACAAATCTGACATTGAGATGACTTTATCTCTGCCTGTATGTGTTATAGTTCTTCACCGTTCACTAATATGTCTCCTATTTAAACTGTACAATATTTCTCTGTCAACCCTAAAGTATATAACAGATTGTGTACACTAAAACCTCTGTAATTACATATTCCAGACTGTAAGCTATACTGTAATGATGTCACAGTTGACAAATAACATGAATGAATATAGGAAAATATTGCTGACACGTTTCTTACTTGTACAACATAACATTGTCAATAGACAGTAGTTCCCTGTATGTGTTCTCATGCCAGGACAACAATATCATTATGATAGTTGGACAAAATTGCTGAAACATAGATAGCGCTGGATCTGATTAGAAATGACAACATATGAAATGATCAGTTATTGGGGATCTAGGAAGCTGGTAATAGTCTTTATGTTGAGGACTGTTTGTAACACTTCAGCAGTAGGGACATTGTATATTGTACCAAACATCAATAAGGTCCTGGTCTTCCAGGTCAAACTAGGACAATGCATGCCTCAAGGAATCAGCAGGTTCTGTGAAAGCAGTCATTCTAACACAAACACAATGACTTTCCTGGCGTTACTAAATACTTCATATTGTCAAGAGAAAACTATCTAACAAACGTAATCATGAAATGCCTATAAGAATAATGTTGTGAAATGGCGTTATACATGTAGCTTATCTACAGTTCCGAGGATTCCCGATGGCTATCATCTGGATCACCTCATACCTTGCCTTTACCCATGTGACAATAACCCTCAGTTTTTGTGAGATCCCTGAGCAATACACCTGCTTTTACCTGTCGTTCTTGGTCTGTGTGACAATACAGTCATACAAACATGTCACAACTTCAACAACAGTAAAGCTTTATACTAATTCTAAAATACTGTAAGTGTAAATAATACATAAATTATACCTCACTACATAGAAATTCCCTGATGGTGCTCCTCAACACTTTTCGTCCATCAGCTGTCCGGGAGAAAGGAGTCAGTCCAGATCCCTTCAGCTGAATCTCCCAACGTTCACCCTTCTTGTTCACCACTTCCCCCAAGTACCTAAAGGGAGACAACTACAGTAAGAGTATGACAAATTATTTCAAATATATCTGGTACACCTGAAAAACAATCAACACCTTTTCATACCCCGAGTAAACTAATGTGACTATCCAATACTTTGACAAGGGTGTTGTTACTACAAGTAAACATAGGAAAATACATCAGTAATGTACGTGTTAAAACGTATCCATCAATTCTTTAAGAGTTAAATGTAACCGGTTTTGTGAAAGGTATTGCAGATACAAGAAATTCCAAAGAGATCTTGGTACCCTATGTTGTACGATGTCCTTTCATCATTCTGTTTTATAGATAGGCAAATTAATCTTATGGTAAAATTGATTAACAATGACAGTACATGACATTGTACTACAAGAATGAGATATAAGCCAGGGTTTACAGTAGCTATTCTATAAACGGGGTCCTTTTCGGATTATATAGGGAATCCTAGTACTGTATAGACTGAATGGACTTTCTGAAATACTACGTCTTTACATCATAATTAAAACATCCCTAAGAACACACAGGTCAATTTAATGTTCCTGAGAATACTCCTATTGGGTAATTACATCCATTTCTTATTATATTCAAATGATGTGGTTTGTACCTATCCCCTAAATTTCAACATTGACGAGATTATAATCTATATTACAACAACAGGTGAATGCGACGTGTTGTACTGATCAAACTTTAACATTTACTATCTTGTATGACTGGGCAATCTCACAACAAATGTAATTTTCATTAGAAGGTTCCAGGTTCAAATTCCTGCATTTCATAATAATTTAATACATTTATCAATACAATGCAGGAGAGAATTTTAGTTAACTCGTAACCATTCCTACCCATACCCAAACCAAATGATACAAAACTAGAAAATGTCTGTAAGACATGAATGCCCCCGCCCCCAAATGTGAAATAATAGTGAAAGGTCCGAATGAAGTTGTTAGGTGGTATATACTGATTTGGGACGCGACGCGACGGGACGGGACGGGACGGGACGCGGCGGGACGGACGGACATGGGCAACACTATAAATGGCGGGGGCATAAAAATGGTAAACTTGTACCCACTAACATTGGCCAACTCATACAAAGTATTGATGAACTTGTACCAACATTTTTCATTAAGGATATGTAAATACATTCTATCTACAAGCTTATTGTAAACTTTCAAGTGACAGATAATTCAGTGATTCTAGTTTGATTACGAGGTTTTGATCAAAGGAGAAAACTCAAAAATAAATCAGGCCATTTGAGCTATTTCATATATCTTATGATATACATATTGTCTTTCTGTATCGATTTTTTAACACTGGAAACAATAACAAATTCATAAATAGTTTCAAAAACATTTATTTACTAAAACATTTACTTTGACAACACAGAGATGTTTGACACATTATATACATCTCTGAACAGCTCTACAATGATAACAAGATGCATGAACATACAAATATGTCAATTCACACAAACTGTCATCTTGTTCACTCTGTCAAAATTCCCTATGTCAATTCACACAAACTGTCATCTTGTTCACTCTGTCAAAATTCCCTTTCATTCATTTGTTCTATAATAAGATTATTCCGCAGTATAGTAGGATTTACACTTTCAACCCTTACAAAGTTACATATGTAAACTAAAGTCAGGTATATATAAACAGAGAAAAATATCTAATATTTGGAAGGGATTCCATGGAAACAGTAGGTTTTACATCCAGGGCTGCACATCTCTTCAGGAGGGAGTAACTGTTCAATGGTCCATCTCAGTAGTTTTTCCACAGAGCGAACATCTTCCGCTGACGAGTATGAGTCTGACAGGAAAGATAACATTAATACTCTATAATATTCGATGGTCTCATACAAAACAAATTTCTCTTCTTCTTAATGGATTTCATTTTGTCTGATATTGCACTGAGAGTTAACTGTTCTGCCAATTATATCAGCCGAATCTATCTGACTCATCAACGTACCTGCTTCTTCTGATGTTGGCTCAGTTTCCCCTCAGAAACCAGTCACTTCTGTAGGAATGAAGGGATGTCCCCTGGAATAGCAATGATATCAGCTGGTGTAAGCAAAGATTGCCTCCTAAAATGAAAAAAAGATAGGTCAGTGAATTTTACATTGTCAGTTACATATGTATTTACAAACTGATTACCACATTTTACCATAAATCTTCAATTTTTTGTTGAGAAAACAAAAAACAGTTGATGGGAATAATGTGAAGGTTATTTTCATCAAGTTTCAAAATCAAGGGGTCAAAGGTCAGTGAGATATAGAAATAGTAAACTTCGAACTACCACCTTTTTATACATTTAGACAATTTTTCATCACAAAAAACACCACTTCCTTATACATTGTCTGACTGCCAGATAATTATCATTTATAGGAATTCCAGTTTTAACAGGACTACCCAGAGAAAAATAGTAATATTACACATGTATAGTATTACAGAAAGATTTTGTTGTTGCACCCATATTGATTTCATTAACTAGTTTTAGCTTACAATCATATTACTGATTCATTCATTACTTGTTGTGAAGTAGTGGTATGATTTCACTGACAATCAGTATTAAAGATTTTCTGCCAACCATCCTGTCTTAAATTACATCAAAGGATAAAGATACTTATACTGAATGCAGTTTCTAGGAAAATCACCTGAGTGCATTTCTTTAGATTGTGGGTAGAAGTTTCATACCTTTTACTTTTTATGGGGCAAAACATAAAACATTTTTGCAAAATATAAAATTCATATTGAAAACAAATATCAGTGTCTTATAAAATGGTGCCTTCTATCTATCTGTAAAATATCAGGCACTAGTACATCTCACTACAGTAAAACAACATAAATTTCTAATTTTTTTTTAACAAATAGCATTTTGATAATTTTCTTAATAAACGGATGTATGTAAAATTTAACTTTTCGATAATTTTCTTAATAAAACAGGAAGTATATATACATACAGTCGAACTTCGTTAACTCGAACTCGGAAAACTCAAAGACCCCGTTTAACTCGAAGCACTTTGTCGGTCCCGGCAAAATCTTCTCTTTATTCTAGTAATCAAAACTCGGAAAACTCGAATACGGAAAACTCGAAAAACTCTGTTAATTCGAAGTAAAAATTTGGTCCCAACAACAAAACATATACTGAATATGATCGGAAAACTCGAAGTATAAATTTTGTGCCGGTCAATTACATCGCTGATGCGCTACGCCGTTTTGCAATTTTACCGACAATAGGCTTTACAAGTGAATATTAATGAACAATACTGTAATTAACAATATTCATGTTTTAGAAAAGTGTTTATTGTTATTTAATTGAATGATAAAAGGTAACCGTTAGATCTTATAATTGATAGATATCGGCGATAAAAAGTGAAGTTCTACTCACATTGCGTAATTTCCGTGTCTGTCAGCCATAACAAACACCGACCTGTGTATACACTCAGTGAAGCGGAACTAAGCTATAGAAAACAATCACAACACTGGCCCGGTACTAGGCTTAATGTTTTTACAGGAGTACGCATGAAACGGTCACCTGTGCTCAATTAAACCGACAAATGAGTGAAACAATTATTTAATTAGCGTCGAAGTACTTAGGGCAGAATTAGTGAGGAGATGTCATGAGTGTCACATAGGGATAAAAGCAGGGGTGTTTCTCACCGAAATCATACCCGTTTCGAAATGTCGAAGTCAATTGAGCAATCCAACGAAGGACCCGGTTTATCCGGGGGGATACTTGGATCGATTGATAGGGCGAAGACTGGTGTGAAGAGGAAGATAGAGAACGAAATTGATGGTTTCTAAATAATAAGCAAACTGCACCTAATTTAATTATCAATTCTGGTTTTTCAACGATCAAGAACAAAATATGTTTGCTTATTACCGGAATCTACATCAAGCTCGTATATAGCCAAAAAGTGACAAAAAGTACAAGGAACGTCAGGAACATTAAAAATCTTTGCACCAAAACTCATGAACTCGGCTATCTCGAAGACTCGGATAACTCGAAGTATTTTCGTGGTCCCATCGACTTCGAGTTAACGAGGTTTGACTGTATATGGAATACACGAATATATCTTGTAATGAGTTGTTACACAAGTGGAGAAAAAACGTTATCAAGATTAAAAACCTACCTGTGTCACATGTTAGGTTTTGCCACTTGTCGTACGTGTCACACCGGAAGGTTTCTTGATGTGGTCAAACATCTTCATTGAAAATCACATAGGCCAAGAATGCTGTTGCAATTTATTTATAGTAACAACATATAGCAGCTCAAATGAAGAATAAACTTTGCTTTTTCATTGGTTAGTTCAGTTTATGGCAATTAAAACATAAGAACTAAATATTTTTTTAAAGTCGGTATATTTGTTTGTACTTTCATTTAAAGATTTGTGTGTGACATGTGTGTGCATTATACTTATCATCGTCGGTAACATTGTTTCATGTGCATATCTACAATTTATTAATGTTTTGATACATTAAGATAACATAGCTTCATGTGCTTACAAGTCTACTATCATGACATCAGTGGTAACACAGTTCCATGTGTACGACAGCCTTGTGTCCCAATGTAAAAGGAGCGGGTCAGTGTGGCTTGTACAAAGTGTTAAATACGGTCTCTGTCACTTAGCTGACGGAGCATGCTTCTTTGGCTCAGTTGGTAGAGCACTGGCTTATCATGCCAGAGACCCGGGTTTGATTCCTGGTCGGGGCACTCGACAGGAATGTGTATTTTCCCTGTTCTTCTACACCAACACAAGAATTTATTTATTAGGATTTATTAGGATATATGATGGACGCAGGCTGGGAATAAGCCTCTGTGTCCATATCTGTAAATGAATTTACAGATTTATGCAACCAAATAGAACATTGAAAAATTACAAATCCAAGCAATGTGAAGTAAAAAAAAAATGCAAATGATCAATTGATAATGATGGGTATGGGATTGCCAAAATTGTTATGAGTTGGCCAGTGGATGGATACGAGTTGGAATGAGAACGAGTAAGCTAACTACAGCGAGAGAAAAATTCAAACATTTTATTTAAATTGTTAAACTTACATAGCAGCACCATCGCCAAGCTGACCAGAGAAATATCCAAACTGATGACCACAATAACAGTGCGCTGCTGGCTCACTACCAGGTATAAGTTTATTCCCTGCGAAATATTCACAGAAATTCTTCTCCTGAACTTCAGTTTCTTTCAGGTCCAGCAAGGATAACGCCGACAAAGAGTGACAGACCAGAGTCGGGTTTTCAACTGGGGAGAGATTTATTTTTGAGAAGCATGCCCCTGATACCTGTCGTGTAAATACCTCCTTTTCAGAGTCAATCGGGAGGGACCTCAACGCGAGATTGTCAAAATTGAGAGTTTCCAATGTGGACATGTTATTCGCCGATCTATGAACACCTGCAATACATCTCCAAGTATAAAACGCCGATGTACCAACGAGATTACGAAGCAGTTTAGTCTTCAGTGAAGTTGTGTGATACTTTCTTTCAAATCTCGCAATTGCGGTACCAGTTTCAGCAGCCAATCTTCGAAACATTGAAATTGAAGTTCAAGTTGTGTTTACAAAACACTTCACTTCCGCTTTGCAGCGCCCTCTATTTCACAAAGCAATCCTAATTATTCTATCTTTGAATGATGTTGACATGTAGGATCGATCATAAATATAAATCAATGTAACAATATGACATAATGTTAAATTGTTAGAATACATGAATAATGCATCATTCGTCATAAGTGGCAGACTTTACTGTCTCTTCAACAAAACGAAAGTAGACACTTCCGGTACATTTTTACTCGATGAGTTATTGCCCTTCGACACACGTGCATGGTTTTCACTTTAACCGACATTTGTTTCCATTCTGCATCAATACAGTGATTATTTGGAAATGAAACTTCATACGAATCCAGGGAATTTTAATTCCTTGAAGTTATTGGCAGCGGCTGAACTATCCGGAACCAAATTAGAGGTGGTGGAGACAAAACATGACGGTAAAATAACATTTGTACTAGTGACTTGTAATGAACGATGCCTGGCATATGTCAGAGTACTTACAGATATTTCATCATTTTTTATTTGAGATCATCGTCAGATATTGATTACGCGCTTCGTACATTTTGTCTCAGTCCTAATGTGACCTTGATGAAAAGTAATTTTTCCTTGAAGAGAAAATTTTAATCACATCACATGCCATAATGATAAAACATCCGAATTAACATACATATGTTGTAAATAACACCAAAGTAGGGACTCAGTCATGCTCCATAAGCATTTTTGTGATCACAAGAAACTTGGGGACGAGTTCTTTCCTACAAGGCCATTATATGTAACCCTGGTATATTATTGCTGCAATATACCTCTTGGTTGTTGGGACCAGTTGTGTGTAAGACAAGTAAGCCAGAGGTCCCAGGTTCGAATCTTAGTGGAGGAATAGCAAGACAAGTCTATGTGGTCGACACTGTATTTTCTTAAAAATTTTGGACACTGGCAGGATTCTTGACTTTTTCAGCATATATTTTTCTTCTAAACATCACACTTTTCCTTTTAAGTTTTCAACAAGGGAAAAACAGAAAATACCAAAAAATACCACTGCACTCTACAACTATATTTGATATTATTCTTTATTTCTGTAATAATTAACTACAAAACAAAAAAAGATCAAAACATTTCCTGTGATATTTCTGTCAAATATATTTGCTGATAATTATATTTATCATCAAAAATATATTATGTATGTAAAACTCAATATTCTGTATATGGGGAAAATATCCACTGCTCTTTACCACTACTCTGAGAGGAAACACTGTAATATATCTACACAAATATCACCTTACAATGAGGCCATTTTCTCAGTAAGTCACAAACAGATATTCTTAGATCTACATTGTCAATATTTTCTTCAGTCTCACCATCAATACACCATTGCATGATAATTAGCTCACTCCAATGTGATTCTGCAGTAAATTATAATTATATATATATTTCTATATTCCTATAATAAGCCCATCCCAGGGAAGTCAACTCAGGTAATCCATTACTCAATTTAATTTATCACAGGATCAAGAATGTCAATTGAAATTAAGGAATACAAAGAGGCTTACAAAATCCAGAACACATGTACCTATTTAGAGTTCCAATCATGATTTAGTTTGCACTCAGTTTTCAAGGAGGTACTTTTTTTCTTCAATTTTTGTCTGTAACCATATCATCTCTGACAATATCATAAACATATTTTAGACACACTGGAAATATATTTACTGTGTGTATTAAATCTAATTTGTGCACTTACAAAAAAAAAATTCTGAGAAAAAAAATTGTGCTTGTAAAAAAAACCAGCAAAAGTTTCAACATAGAATGTATTGAGTCATGACAGTCTGGAAGGAGAAAGAAATAAGAAAACACCATAGAAACATAGGATAGGAAAAAGTCTGTAGTGCAAGAGAACATTAGAGGCAACTCTTAGATGTTGTATATTTCATAGGTAAATCAGTGAAATAGGCAAACTTCCTATCATCCTGCTTAAGGGAAAAGTGCTCTTGTTAGGTTAATTTCAATATAATGTGTTATAGACTGGCCTGTTATCTTAAATGTATAAAGCCTAATGTGTTATAGACTGGCCTGTTATCTTAAATGTATAAAGCCTAATGTGTTATAGACTGGCCTGTTATCTTAAATGTATAAAGATTAATGTGTTATAGACTGGCCTGTTATCTTAAATGTATAAAGATTAATGTGTTATAGACTGGCCTGTTATCTTAAATGTATAAAGCCTAATGTGTTATAGACTGGCCTGTTATCTTAAATGTATAAAGATTAATGTGTTATAGACTGGCCTGTTATCTAAAAGGTATAAAGATTAATGTGTTATAGACTGGCCTGTTATCTAAAAGGTATAAAGATTAATGTGTTATAGACTGGCCTGTTATCTTAAATGTATATAGATGAAATGTGTTATAGACTGGCCTGTTATCTAAAAGGTATAAAGATTAATGTGTTATAGACTGGCCTGTTATCTTAAATGTATATAGATGAAATGTGTTATAGACTGGCCTGTTATCGTAAATGTATAAAGATTAATGTGTTATAGACTGGCCTGTTATCTTACATGTATAAAGATTAATGTGTTATAGACTGGCCTGTTATCTTAAATGTATAAAGATTAATGTGTTATAGACTGGCCTGTTATCTTAAATGTATAAAGATTAATGTGTTATAGACTGGCCTGTTATCTTAAATGTATAAAGATTAATGTGTTATAGACTGGCCTGTTATCTTAAATGTATAAAGATTAATGTATTATAGACTGGCCTGTTATCTTAAATGTATAAAGATTAATGTGTTATAGACTGGCCTGTTATCTTAAATGTATAAAGATTAATGTGTTATAGACTGGCCTGTTATCTTAAATGTATAAAGATTAATGTGTTATAGACTGGCCTGTTATCTTAAATGTATAAAGATTAATGTGTTATAGACTGGCCTGTTATCTTAAATGTATAAAGATTAATGTATTATAGACTGGCCTGTTATCTTAAATGTATAAAGATTAATGTGTTATAGACTGGCCTGTTATCTTAAATGTATAAAGATTAATGTGTTATAGACTGGCCTGTTATCTTAAATGTATATAGATAAAATGTTTAAGGCTGAAAATTTAGATCTTATTATATCTCATATTAGATATGTCTGATTCTAGGATTTCAAACAAATGTGAGATAACCTAGTTTAAAAATAGGGCAGAATTATGCTCTACAAAAACTTAGATCTGGGGTGACCTGTAGCTAGACAGGATATATATCATTTACAATATATAGATTATGTTTCTATCATTGCTTCTGAAGAAATTCTTTGTCCTCCTGTCATACAGGTTTTAGACGCAAAAGAAGAAATGACTTTAAACTAGTTGAAAACCATGTATTGGCCTTACATTGATAAGACAGCACTTGATAATTTCATGGTCTTTTTTACATACATAGTGACTGTATAAATCAATACCTTTGACCTTTCATGGTTGGTTTTTGTAACATTTTTGTAATGATATAACTTGTATGACTTGGAGATTGCTATCAATAGAAACTTTACCTGTTATTATTATATCATATTTAATGTATAAAGAGTTTTTAATTCCAATTAGAAAAAATGTGTAAAAATGATCCCCACAATTTGTTCGACATTATTAAGGTGAATCTAGAATTTACTTTCAAAATAAAGAAAGTAATAACTCAACATTCCCTTCCTTGTGATTGACTAACAAGTTCTTTATTATGTATTTTTGTTATTTCTGATTCTCAATTGTTCTGATAGTTAACATTAAATTTGAAAATTCTTAATTTTCCAAGCATGTCTGTAGATGATTTTCCCCAATTTTAGTCTGAGAGTTTGTTCCCCAGTCATGTAACCATGATAACCACTGACCACTTGTGTACTAACACACATTAGTTTTAGAACTAAAAAAGTTTTCAAGTTCAGCTAGATAAGGTTATAGATGTTTGAAGTAACCAGTAACACCAAACACAAGACAGTGTCTCTGACAGAGACGTTATATTTCCTGTTTCCGGCCCTGACACGTTGATTACTGGAGATAAAACACCAGCTACATGACAAGAAACAAGACTTGTGATAGAGCAAGTCCTGTTGTATAATACAGTGACATCTGATGTAACATTATGGTGACTCAAGCTATTTACAGATGAAATGGATAAAACATTTTGTCTTTAATCAGTTTAATCCTTTGTTTTTTGTTTTTTTCTTACCAATTGTTACAGGTAAATACTGAATGTAAAAATAGAAATGCTTCTAAATATATAAAAAAAATATACCTTTTATTATGTTGTATGTTTACTTAGGTGTAGCTATATATATGTTGATTTTACCTGTAAGTGGTAATATGACCCATAGCACTGTCAGTATATATATATATATATATATAGAATATCCTGTATGTATGATGAAATCCCAAACACAGTCAGTCAATACTCCTTACATGAACTAACTATACATTTGTCACTGAGGCAGGTTACGGCTAATTTCTGTTGAGAAATTTGTTTTATTGTCAGATACAGGCTACATATGTAAGTATCCCATTAATCATATGTTATTACACAGGTACATCATTGTATATTTCTATAAGTAAAACATGTGTGAAGATAAAATATATTTTACCAATATTAATCATCTTTGCAAGCCAAAGGTGTTCAATGCAATACTCTTATTTTAAAATTTCAATGATGAAATGTTATATAACTGTGCAACTATGTTACACATGTAGATATTGTATTAATTCAGTAGTGCTGTGTACTGTTAGGGTATTTATGATACTGTTTTTACCTCACTGGGCCCAAAGGTTCAAGCTAGCTATTGGCATACTGCTGTGTCCGTCTCTCTTTCTATCTGTCAACCTTTTCTACAAATTGCTACATATCATGAATAACAGTGCAGATTTTTACCTTATTTTGTCTGTAGCATTCTTGGGTCAAGAGAAATTAATTTTGTATAAATCGTAGGTTTGTGCCCCTTGGGTTTAGGAGGGGCAGGTACAGTAGGGGAAATAGAGCAAATTCTTTAATATCCTAATATTGGACTTTACCAAAATTTGGTCTGAAGTTTACCTGCGTGAAGTGGAATCAAATTTGACCTGAAACATTCTCAAGTAAAGGGTAATCAAATTTGAATAAACATTGGGTCTCAGCTCCCTGGGCAGGACCAGTATTTGAAATGAAGGTAATTCTTTAAAATCCTAGTTCTCCTGTAGTAATGATTTGGTGTGAAGTATGAATGGTATGGCTGACCCCCTTGGGACACGGGATTGAGATCCCAGAAGAAAATGCTGTGTATTGTGTTGTTTACATATAAATATATTAATACCGACTTACTTTTATAGTATTGACCTCATAGAATACACAATCCTGTACCCGGTAATTGGTCTGATTTTGTCTACTCACCTGGACAAGAAAATTTCAGCTTTTCCTTCTGTTCCCAAAAGATCACTGATATTGTTGGACTGATTGAAGTCCCTATAAAGACCTTTCCCATGACTCGGTGAGATGCCTAACTGACCTTAACCAGGGAGGTGACTTGTAGGATTGATTGTGATTGAAATGAAATAAAAGATGTGATTCTAATTCTGTGTTCTAGATAAAGTAGTGCCCTACTTGTCCAGAAACTCGCTGCCTGTTCTAGAAGTATTCCCCAGCAAATTCCTGTTTTCTGTTGGAGCAGCCACAAGGTAAAACCACAAACTATCTGAAATGAAGATTATCTCTTTCCTTTTGGGGAAATATGTGTCCAGTAAATGTGAATAGAATATTTGATTGACAAATTTTTTTATATGATTTGTATAAAAAGTTCTGCTGTATATTAATCTTGGTTTGTAGATTGTATCTTTTCTATATTGTAGCAGATCCTCATTGGTTGTCCTATTGTTGTACTATTGGACAGGGAGAAAACTGATTTTTGAGCCAGTCAATATTGTCCCTGCCTACAGATGATAAACCATTTTTGTAGAAGTTTAAAATTAAAGAAACCATTTCTTACTGACACAATATTGATCCTTCTGTCCGTATTTTGTAATTTTGTCTTTTTGCCTAGATACTTACTGAAACAACAGTCCCTAAGCCCAGAAGATGATAGCACAGTTGACAGATGGCTCGAATGGGACAGTAACCAGTTACAGGTGAGTTATTGCCCCTTAATTCAGAAATTCTTAGTAACATGAGTTATCCTCTCTTGATTTGGTTAGTTACCACTGATATGATGCGGTTGGGACAGTAACCAGTTGCAGATGAGAAATTTAACTAACTACTAAACTTGAAGTTTTAATTTTTAATTTGTTTGCTTTTTAGAAACAGCACTTTTGAAATTCAGAAAATGTATTGTGTTCTCCTTGCAGCCATTACTTGTACCTTACCTTGTGAGCACGATTGGACAGAACAAAGCAGATGCATTCCTCTTATCACAGATACAAACACTACTCAAACTCCTCAACGCTGAGCTTAAAGGTCGCCAGACTCTCACCAAGGTCAGAATTCCTGTTTTACAGAATTTGGCTTTGTTTCAAAATAACCGTTTCGTTGTGTTTTGTCATTTTCATTCTCTCCAAAAATGTTCAGGGGAGCATATAGTTGCTACCTCGTTCATCTGTCCATTCACCCATCTGTCTTTTCATCCACCCTTTTGTGCCATGGAGCATAATGTAGCCCACTATTATGCAAGGATTATGAAACTAAGGCGATGTGCAATATACTGAATTCGGGCACTTGACTCTTCAATTACAGTGTTACTGCCCTTTGTTTAACTTTTGTGTCCAGCGCATAACTTTGCTTGCATTTAAACATGTATAATGAAACTTGGTGAATACATTGATGATGCTAGGACGATGTGCAGTGTACTAAATTCAGGTCCCCCAACCTCATATTAACAGAGTTATTGTGATTTGACCAAAACCATTAAACTAAAATATGTATTTTTCACAGAAATCATAAAACTGAGTATTTATTGGTAATTCATTTTCAATGTTTATATTTTGTCACAAAAATAACACCCATTACAGTTGTCAATAAAAGATACTTTGTATAAGGCAGCATGAAATTGGATATTGTACCATTTATTAGTAGGCTAGCTTTATAACAAAAGAATTACTGAAGTTGTTTAACGTATGTTTTGTACATTCTAGGTTGGAATAACAGCAGGGGACTTAAATCTTTGGGGTTCTGTTTACCCAATCTTTAAACCAGGAAAGGCCTGCATTAAAGGTATGTCTCACTAGTGGACATGTATTTCTGTATTCTGTATTATATTTTATCCTGAAAGGAAACCAATACATAAGGTCCTGGTCATCGTTAGAATGTGAAAGTTCAAAGTAACAAACATCAGATACAGTGTTAATTATCTTAATTATGGAGAGGACGGTATTTGTTGACCTCCTTTGGTGTTTTACAGGTTGGGAGGGTCTGTACCCAAACATCAAGGCATGGTTCTCAGGGATTGAGGAGGAGCCAGCAGTACAGAAATCTATAACTGTTGTTGTCAGGGGTAAAGACACCATTGTGTTTAAGGTAAGAGTAAATTCAAGGGATATCAGAACCAACAAAAGCAAAAGAATTATGAAGTATGGACTGGTCAGTTGGTGTGGTGGTAATCTTCCCGCCTTTTCTCAAGGTGACCAGGTAACCTGAGTCACCCTACGGAACACATCACTTACCCACAGGTTCTTGTATATTTTCCTCACCTGGTGTCAGCTTTTCCATTTTTTTTCAATAACCAGCTGACTAAATGTCATGATATTTGACCGGTGGATTGCTGTGATGGTGCCCAACAAAGCTTGCATAAAGGAATTATATTGAATCATGTTCAAGGTCACAGGGGTCAAAGCTGTATACACATTTAAAAAAAGGTTATTGTATCAGTATCACTTTCTATAAGTTGAACAGGTTATTGTATCACTTCCTGTTAGTCATACAGGTTATTGCATCACTTCCTGTTAGTTATACAGGTTATTGTATCACTTCCTGTTAGTTATATAGGTTATTGCATCACTTCCTGTTAGTTATACAGGTTATTGCATCACTTCCTGTTAGTTATATAGGTTATTGTATCACTTCCTGTTAGTTATATAGGTTATTGTATCACTTCCTGTTAGTTATACAGGTTATTGTATCACTTCCTGTTAGTTATATAGGTTATTGCATCACTTCCTGTTAGTTATACAGGTTATTGCATCACTTCCTGTTAGTTATATAGGTTATTGTATCACTTCCTGTTAGTTATACAGGTTATTGTATCACTTCCTGTTAGTTATATAAGTTATTGTATCACTTCCTGTTAGTTATATAAGTTATTGTAGTACTTCCGTTAAGTCGTAAATGTTTTGGCATCATTTCCATTTTGTAGGAATCTCTGCTGGCCCAGCCTGTCCCCGTCTCACTGCCCAGTCCTTCAACTGTCAAACCAGAAAAGTGTACAGCCAGCTCTAGTAAGAAACAACAAGGCAAAAACAAACCAGAGAAAATGGAGGCTGAACCTGCTGAGAGTCAGGTGTGTCATTTACCTGTGATAGTTACCTGTCTGCCACAGAAGGAAGTTGAAAGATTTTATTTCAAAACTTTCACCTTCCTCACCTTTGGTATATGTAACAAATGATAGTAGGTACAGTCAATCTTTGATGTTTTAATGTTTGAGAGACTAGTAAAAAAACTTCGAAACATCAAGACTTTCAATCATGTGTGGTGGGTTATATCAATGTTTTCATGTTCATGACTATAGTAGATGATATAATATTTCTACCTGAATAAACCCAACAAATATCATAACACAAGTTTTAATGAAAAGGGGAATCTTGTTTTCACAAAACAAAATATTTTCATTCATGAAAAAAGATAACTTTAGATAAAAATTGGTGTGAAATCAATACTTACAATTACACTCAAGTCTTCATGTCACACAATATATGTATTTTACAGATCAGTTTAAAATGAAACGACATGCAGAATTTCAGTGGTCTTCACATGTAACATTAATTATTTCAAGACTGATAAATAAATTTTGCATGAACTAAGAAATTCAAAATAAAGCAAACTAATATCATAATGTATTGTTTCTAAAAACCCCAACACTGACATCACACATCTTAAGTGGTAAAAATTACAAGGCTGTTTGGTGATGTTGTGACAACAGCTAGTCTGAATCAATAGGAGAATGCATGATTGACAGATGAATCACCTTGTTTCTGATGTCTTTATGCTGGAAGCTTTGAGAGTGAAATCATCATACAAGTGATCAGCATTTCTTCTCTTTGTTTTCACAGATCTGTAAATTAGATCTATCTGTATGTTATAACCCATACAATTCCTTTGATTTGATGTCATGGCTGGTTAGTAAGCATTTAAACTTTAATCAGTGTCCAGTCATTAATTAAACTCGTAACACAGAGCCAATAATGGCATACATTGGTAATCCCATTGTTGGTTAGCACTCTTTGTTGAAATGTGTGAAATTTTGCACAGGAAAAACTTTGATACATCGAAAACTTCTGTTTATACAACTTTGATTCATAAACGGGTAAGTAAGTAGTAATATATAGGAATAAAATTTTGGACTGCACAAAAAAATTTGATACATCAAGAAATTGGAATTTTGAATCATCGTAGTTCAATTTATAGAAGTTTGGTTGTAGTTAATGCATTCTGTTTCTTTTCAAATTTGCTTTCGATGCTCAAGAAATCCCTGATAGATCTGACAATAACAGAATTTTTGTACATATAAACCACATTCTGGACCAGTATATTGATTACCATCTATCTGCTTGTTAGATATTGGTGGTGAAAAAATAACCATTAAAACTTTGTCTAAAAAACATGCACAAGTTGTGTTGTACATAGATACTGGCAGCCAGACCTGTCACTCCAAATCTGTGTTATATACATATACAAGTTGTGTTGTACATAGATACTGGCAGCCAGACCTGTCACTCCAAATCTGTGTTATATACATATACAAGTTGTGTTGTATATAGATAATGTCAGCCAGACCTGTCACTCCAAATCTGTGTTATATACATATACAAGTTGTCACTCCAAATCTGTGTTATATACATATACAAGTTGTGTTGTATATAGATACTGGCAGCCAGACCTGTCACTCCAAATCTGTGTTATATACATATACAAGTTGTGTTGTATATAGATACTGGCAGCCAGACCTGTCACTCCAAATCTGTGTTATATACATATACAAGTTGTGTTGTATATAGATGGCAGCCAGACCTGTCACTCCAAATCTGTGTTATATACATATACAAGTTGTGTTGTATATAGATACTGGCAGCCAGACCTGTCACTCCAAATCTGTGTTATATACATATACAAGTTGTGTTGTATATAGATACTGGCAGTCACACCTGTCACAAGTTGTGTTGTATATAGATAATGTCAGCCAGACCTGTCACTCCCAAGTTGTGTTGTATATAGATATTGGCAGTCACAAATCTGTGTTATATACATATACAAGTTGTGTTGTATATAGATACTGGCAGCCAGACCTGTCACTCCAAATCTGTGTTATATACATATACAAGTTTGTGTATATATCTGTGTTATATACATATACTAGTTGTGTTGTATATTGATTCCAGACCTGTCACTCCAAATCTGTGTTATATACATATACAAGTTGTGTTGTATATAGATATTGGCAGTCACACCTGTCACTCCAAATCTGTGTTATATACATATACAAGTTGTGTTGTATATAGATACTGGCAGCCAGACCTGTCACTCCAAATCTGTGTTATATACATATACAAGTTGTGTTGTATATATGTCAGCCAGACCTGTCACTCCAAATCTGTGTTATATACATATACAAGTTGTGTTGTATATAGATACTGTCTTCCAGACCTGTCACTCCAAATCTGTGTTATATACATATACAAGTTGTGTTGTATATAGATAATGTCAGCCAGACCTGTCACTCCAAATCTGTGTTATATACATATACAAGTTGTGTTGTATATAGATATTGGCAGTCAGACCTGTCACTCCAAATCTGTGTTATATACATATACAAGTTGTGTTGTATATAGATAATGTCAGCCAGACCTGTCACTCCAAATCTGTGTTATATACATATACAAGTTGTGTTGTATATATATACCTGTCACTCCAAATCTGTGTTATATACATATACCAGACCTGTCACTCCAAATCTGTGTTATATACATATACAAGTTGTGTTGTATATAGATAATGTCAGCCAGACCTGTCACTCCAAATCTGTGTTATATACATATACAAGTTGTGTTGTATATAGATATCCGTGTTATATACATATACAAGTTGTGTTGTATATAGACCTGTCACTCCAAATCTGTGTTATATACATATACAAGTTGTGTTGTATATAGATAATGCAGTCAGACCTGTCACTCCAAATCTGTGTTATATACATATACAAGTTGTGTTGTGTTGTATCATCCAAATCTGTGTTATATACATATACAAGTTGTGTTGTAATGTCACTCCAAATCTGTGTTATATACATATACAAGTTGTGTTGCCATGACAGACCTGTCACTCCAAATCTGTGTTATATACATATACAAGTTGTGTTGTATATAGATATGTCAGCCAGACCTGTCACTCCAAATCTGTGTTATATACATATACAAGTTGTGTTGTATATAGCCAGACCTGTCACTCCAAATCTGTGTTATATACATATACAATTTGTGTTGTATATAGATAATGTCAGCCAGACCTGTCACTCCAAATCTGTGTTATATACATATACAAGTTGTGTTGTATATAGATCCAAATCTGTGTTATATACATATACAAGTTGTGCCAGACCTGTCACTCCAAATCTGTGTTATATACATATACAAGTTGTGTTGTATATAGATACTGGCAGCCAGACCTGTCACTCCAAATCTGTGTTATATACATATACAAGTTGTGTTGTACATAGATACTGGCAGTCAGACCTGTCACTCCAAATCTGTGTTATATACATATACAAGTTGTGTTGTATATAGATACTGGCAGCCAGACCTGTCACTCCAAATCTGTGTTATATACATATACAAGTTGTGTTGTATATAGTGGCAGCCAGACCTGTCACTCCAAATCTGTGTTATATACATATACAAGTTGTGTTGTATATAGATACTGGCAGCCAGACCTGTCACTCCAAATCTGTGTTATATACATATACAAGTTGTGTTGTATATAGATACTGGCAGCCAGACCTGTCACTCCAAATCTGTGTTATATACATATCTGTGTTATATACATATACAAGTTGTGTTGTATATAGATAATGTCAGCCAGACCTGTCACTCCAAATCTGTGTTATATACATATACAAGTTGTGTTGTATATAGTTATATACATATACAAGTTGTGTTGTATATAGATACTGGCAGCCAGACCTGTCACTCCAAATCTGTGTTATATACATATACAAGTTGTGTATGTATATAGACCTGCACTCCAAATCTGTGTTATATACATATACAAGTTGTGTTGTATATAGATACTGGCAGTCAGACCTGTCACTCCAAATCTGTGTTATATACATATACAAGTTGTGTTGTATATAGATACTGGCAGTCACACCTGTCACTCCAAATCTGTGTTATATACATATACAAGTTGTGTTGTATATGTATATAGATACTGGCAGCCAGACCTGTCACTCCAAATCTGTGTTATATACATATACAAATGTCAGCCAGACCTGTCACTCCAAATCTGTGTTATATACATATACAAGTTGTGTTGTACATAGATAAGACCTGTCACTCCAAATCTGTGTTATATACATATACAAGTTGTGTTGTATATAGATACTGGCAGTCAGACCTGTCACTCCAAATCTGTGTTATATACATATACAAGTTGTGTTGTATATACCTGTCACTCCAAATCTGTGTTATATACATATACAAGTTGTGCTGCCAGACCTGTCACTCCAGATCTGTGTTATATACATATACAAGTTGTGTTGTATATAGATAATGTCAGCCAGACCTGTCACTCCAAATCTGTGTTATATACATATACAAGTTGTGTTGTATATAGATATTGTCAGTCAGACCTGTCACTCCAAATCTGTGTTATATACATATACAAGTTGTGTTGTATATAGATACTGGCAGTCAGACCTGTCACTCCAAATCTGTGTTATATACATATACAAGTTGTGTTGTATATAGATACTGGTCAGCCAGACCTGTCACTCCAAATCTGTGTTATATACATATACAAGTTGTGTTGTATATAGATACTGGCAGCCAGACCTGTCACTCCAAATCTGTGTTATATACATATACAAGTTGTGTTGTATATAGATACTGGCAGTCAGACCTGTCACTCCAAATCCGTGTTATATACATATACAAGTTGTGTTGTATATAGATAATGTCAGCCAGACCTGTCACTCCAAATCTGTGTTATATACATATACAAGTTGTGTTGTATATAGATACTGGCAGCCAGACCTGTCACTCCAAATCTGTGTTATATACATATACAAGTTGTGTTGTATATATATACTGGCAGCCAGACCTGTCACTCCAAATCTGTGTTATATACATATACAAGTTGTGTATATTGACCTGTCACTCCAAATCTGTGTTATATACATATACAAGTTGTGTTGTATATAGATAATGTCAGCCAGACCTGTCACTCCAAATCTGTGTTATATACATATACAAGTTGTGTTGTATATAGATAATGTCAGCCAGACCTGTCACTCCAAATCTGTGTTATATACATATACAAGTTGTGTTGTATATAGATATTGGCAGTCAGACCTGTCACTCCAAATCTGTGTTATATACATATACAAGTTGTGTTGTATATAGATAATGTCAGCCAGACCTGTCACTCCAAATCTGTGTTATATACATATACAAGTTGTGTTGTATATAGATACTGGCAGCCAGACCTGTCACTCCAAATCCGTGTTATATACATATACAAGTTGTGTTGTATATAGATATTGGCAGTCACACCTGTCACTCCAAATCTGTGTTATATACATATACAAGTTGTGTTGTATATAGATCTGTCACTCCAAATCTGTGTTATATACATATACAAGTTGTGTTGTAAATAGATAATGGCAGCCAGACCTGTCACTCCAAATCTGTGTTATATACATATACAAGTTGTGTTGTATATAGCATCAGACCTGTCACTCCAAATCTGTGTTATATACATATACAAGTTGTGTTGTATATAGCAGCCAGACCTGTCACTCCAAATCTGTGTTATATACATATACAAGTTGTGTTGTATATAGATAATGTCAGCCAGACCTGTCACTCCAAATCTGTGTTATATACATATACAAGTTGTGTTGTATATAGATAATGTTATATACATATCAGCCAGACCTGTCACTCCAAATCTGTGTTATATACATATACAAGTTGTGTTGTATATAGATAATGTCAGCCAGACCTGTCACTCCAAATCTGTGTTATATACATATACAAGTTGTGTTGTATATAGATACTGGCAGCCAGACCTGTCACTCCAAATCTGTGTTATATACATATACAAGTTGTGTTGTACATAGATAAGACCTGTCACTCCAAATCTGTGTTATATACATATACAAGTTGTGTTGTATATAGATACTGGCAGCCAGACCTGTCACTCCAAATCTGTGTTATATACATATACTGTCACTCCAAATCTGTGTTATATACATATACAAGTTGTGTTGTATATAGATACTGGCAGCCAGACCTGTCACTCCAAATCTGTGTTATATACATATACAAGTTGTGTTGTATATAGATAATGTCAGCCAGACCTGTCACTCCAAATCCGTGTTATATACATATACAAGTTGTGTTGTATATAGATATTGGCAGTCAGACCTGTCACTCCAAATCTGTGTTATATACATATACAAGTTGTGTTGTACATAGATAAGACCTGTCACTCCAAATCCGTGTTATATACATATACAAGTTGTGTTGTACATAGATAATGTCAGCCAGACCTGTCACTCCAAATCCGTGTTATATACATATACAAGTTGTGTTGTATATAGATACTGGCAGCCAGACCTGTCACTCCAAATCTGTGTTATATACATATACAAGTTGTATTGTACATAGATAAGACCTGTCACTCCAAATCTGTGTTATATACATATACAAGTTGTGTTGTATATAGATAATGTCAGCCAGACCTGTCACTCCAAATCTGTGTTATATACATATACAAGTTGTGTTGTATATAGATAATGTCAGCCAGACCTGTCACTCCAAATCTGTGTTATATACATATACAAGTTGTGTTGTATATAGATAATGTCAGCCAGACCTGTCACTCCAAATCTGTGTTATATACATATACAAGTTGTGTTGTATATAGATAATGTCAGCCAGACCTGTCACTCCAAATCCGTGTTATATACATATACAAGTTGTGCTGTACATAGATACTGGCAGCCAGACCTGTCACTCCAAATCCGTGTTATATACATATACAAGTTGTGTTGTATATAGATAATGTCAGCCAGACCTGTCACTCCAAATCCGTGTTATATACATATACAAGTTGTGTTGTATATAGATACTGGCAGCCAGACCTGTCACTCCAAATCTGTGTTATATACATATACAAGTTGTGTTGTATATAGATAATGTCAGCCAGACCTGTCACTCCAAATCCGTGTTATATACATATACAAGTTGTGTTGTATATAGATAATGTCAGCCAGACCTGTCACTCCAAATCCGTGTTATATACATATACAAGTTGTGTTGTATATAGATAATGTCAGCCAGACCTGTCACTCCAAATCTGTGTTATATACATATACAAGTTGTGTTGTATATAGATAATGTCAGCCAGACCTGTCACTCCAAATCCGTGTTATATACATATACAAGTTGTGCTGTATATAGATACTGGCAGCCAGACCTGTCACTCCAAATCTGTGTTATATACATATACAAGTTGTGCTGTACATAGATACTGGCAGCCAGACCTGTCACTCCAGAAGAACTAGCTGCTGCGGTCAAAGCTTGGAATTCTGGGAAAGCCTCCTGTCCAAAAGTTAGAGAAAGAGTGCACCCTATGTAAGTAAAGGCACTGTTGTTTACCAGATATAAACTAAAACTTATATATCCTTGGTCCCTTTCTTACCATTTTGTGTATAAGATAGAGAAGTTCCTTGGATATTCAATAGGGTCAAAGTTATCTCCTTCAGATTGTGTTGATTGCGTAATTGCCATGACATGATAAGGTTGCATACATCTTTAAGTATATATATGATCATTAGGAAGTATATATCCTTAATTCTCCATATGTCACAGTAGTACAGCAAAGATAATAAATCTTCAAAGTTGACCTCACATATACTTTCCAAGGAATAAGTCATATGCTGTGTCTCTGTGAATGCTTCAGAGTTTTTGAAAATGATGTATTTCCTGAAGTATTTAGAACTATAACCTCTCCCCTTTGCTTGTCCACTGATACTGAAATCTTTTTGTGTTTTTGTAGCCTGCCTAAGGAAGGTGAGAGGAACATCATGATCACAAGTGCTCTGCCTTACGTCAACAACGTACCTCATCTAGGGAACATCATCGGCTGTGTCCTCAGTGCCGACGTTTACTCCAGGTCTGTATGCTGTCTTTGGAAGAAAGAGTTATTTCATTGTATTAATCTATAACTTCCTTTTTGTTTTGTATATACGCTGTAGATTTGTAACATTGCTGTCCCTGATTTCAAGAGGAGACAGAATTTAGTACAAACATTATATAGTAAAATGTCTAGTGTAGTTGTATTTCAGTGAAGTCATATCTAAGTCTTAAAAAGGTCAGCCATTTTTCTTTACCATTTCCTTTATCTTCAGGTAATTTTTATTTGGTATCCTAGAAAATATCACATTGTTTCCAATGAAAATTTGAACTTATTTACCATGGAGTTGATTTGAAAAAGCATGTTGCTCATTTACATAATTCTCAGTAATGGAAATTGAAATCATAATGAATATCGTTGGTGTAAGCTTTTCCTTTGTGTTTAGGTACTGTCGACTACGGAACTACAACGTGTTTTATATCTGTGGTACTGATGAATATGGCACTGCCACAGAAACCAAGGCTATAGAGGAGGGTCTAACACCACAACAGATCTGTGACAAATATAACAAAATACATGGCGAAATCTACAAGTGGTTCAATATAGACTTTGATTACTTCGGCCGAACAACAACCACCCACCAAACACAGTGAGTACCCAACACCCACCAAACACAGTGAGTACCCAACACCCACCAAACACAGTGAGTACCCAACACCCACCAAACACAGTGAGTACCCAACACCCACCAAACACAGTGAGTACCCAACACCCCCCAAACACAGTGAGTACCCAACACCTACCAAACACAGTGAGTACCCAACACCTACCAAACACAATGAGTACCCAACACCCCCCAAACACAGTGAGTACCCAACACCTACCAAACACAGTGAGTACCCAACACCCACCAAACACAATGAGTACCCAACACCCACCAAACACAGTGAGTACCCAACACCCACCAAACACAGTGAGTACCAAACAACCAACAAACACAGTGAGTACCCAACACCTATCAAACATAGTGAGTACCCAACACCTACCAAACACAGTGAGTACCCAACACCCACCAAACACAGTGAGTACCCAACACCCACCAAACACAGTGAGTACCCAACACCCACCAAACACAGTAAGTACTCAACACCCTCCAAACAGTGAGTACCCAACACCTACCAAACACAGTGAGTACTCAACACCCTTCAGACACAGTGAATACTCAACACCTACCAAACACAGGGAGTACCCAACACCTACCAAACACAGGGAGTACCCAACACCCACCAAACACAGTGAGTTCTCAATAATATCATATCCCTCCAGTCACCACCACCAAACACTGTGAGTATTTAATGATATAATATATTTAGATCATTGAAAGAAAATTTCTTTGTGATTCTACTTAACCAGTGGGCTTATCACCAGGCCTGGGCTTATTGTGAAATAAATCTGCTAAATCACAAAGCCATCAAGATGAAAAAAAAAATTATCCTGCAGAAATATAGTTACAAGCATGAAATCATGATACATTGGCTTTTCTTTGGTGTTAGAATTGCCCAGGATATATTTTGGAAGCTGTACAACCAGGGCCATATCCTGAAGGAGTCCATGGAACAACTACAGTGTGAGAAGTGTAACAGGTATGTGGTTAAAATCAAAACATTAAGAATGACCAGTCAGTAGATCATGTACATTGTAACAGTAAGTTATGTACATTGTAACAGTAAGTTATGTACATTGTAACAGTAAGTTATGTACATTGTAACAGTAGATCATGTACATTGTAACAGTAAGTTATGTACATTGTAACAGTAAGTTATGTACATTGTAACAGTAGATCATGTACATTGTAACAGTAAGTTATGTACATTGTAACAGTAAATTATGTACATTGTAACAGTAAATTATGTACATTGTAACAGTAAATTATGTACATTGTAACAGTAAGTTATGTACATTGTAACAGTAAGTTATGTACATTGTAACAGTAAGTTATGTACATTGTAACAGTAAATTATGTACATTGTAACAGTAAATTATGTACATTGTAACAGTAAGTTATGTACATTTACTGAAAAATTCAATTTTGTTGTAGATACCTGAGCATTACATTAAATTTACAACATGAACCTTTTTACATACTTTATTCAAACATTTGCTGCTAGCAAATAATTATAAATTGATGCCAAATATGTTTAAACTTATTTGAATACTTCAAACTATACTTTGCTGTATCATGGCCTATGATACAGTGTATATACAAATACCAAATGAAAGTCTCTAGAAGAATCCTGAAATAGTCTCTAACAGTCAGATATTTCCTGGGCAGGTTTTTGGCAGACAGATTTGTAGAGGGTACCTGCCCCCTGTGTAATTTTGATGATGCCCGCGGTGATCAATGTGATGCCTGTGGTAAACTTATTAATGCCATCGAACTCAAATCGCCGAAATGTAAACTGTGCCGATCCACACCAGTAATCAGATCCTCTGATCACTTGTTCCTGGACCTTCCAAAGGTAAGGCTCTCAGCAGTCTACTGCTTTTTCTCCTACTTAGAGATCAGCAGAGTTTAATTCTGTTGTGTATATGAATTTGTGAATTAAATGGATACTCTAGACATAGAAAAATGTTTGCCATGGTTTTCTTTTGTCCTCACCAAAAACTGATCATTTTTGCTTATTGCTAAATTTGTCAGAAAATCCATTAAAAAAACCACCTATTTTTGAGTTTAAACCACAAACTTTAGAAAACTGTTTTTTCACCCTATTGGATAAAGAACTGAACGTTAAACAGTGACAAATGTATCTCTTGGTTACATGGACAGGATGATATGCAACTTTTTAATATGTTTGATGGCCTCAACAATAAAAGTGAACTTTACACGCAAGATTTTAATGAACTAAGAATTGTTCACTAAATTCCTGCTTTGTAGATGGAGTCAGTACTACAGAAACATCTGAATGATGCTTTTCACAAAGGAACCTGGACCAGTAATGCCAAGAACATTACCAATAGCTGGATCAGGGATGGACTCAAACCACGCTGTATCAGTCGTGATCTGAAATGGGGTACACCAGTGCCTCTAGAAGGGTATGAGGACAAGGTGAGTGATGAGAGATGGGTTACACGATTCAGTCTCCAACACTGCAGTTCAGACAGATTAATGTTGTGGACAACAGTTGTTTCTTTATAAGATAGAAAACAGACTAAATGATCTCATTTTACTAAGTGACAAACCTTGTCAATGACTTCCAATGCGTGTATTAGCATGTTAATGTATTTAGGTGTGTTAGGATTTATGTCAGTTATGTTACATTAAAAATGTGTATCTTTAGATCACCTGACCTGAAAAGTCTAGATGACCAATAGCCATCGTGCTTCATCCATCGTGGTGTGATGTGTGCTGTTCGCCTTGCACCGTGTGTCATGCATAAACTTTTTCTTTAAAAATCTATTTCTCTTTCATACCTTGGTAGATTTCAACCAAATTTGGTCTGATGCATCATTGGGTGAGGTAATCATTTCTTAAAATCAGAATTTTGATTCAACCCTGTGATTTATCATTACAGCTATGCAGGGCCCCAAAAGGGGAAATTAGACAATAAGAAATTAGCTTTTTATGCAGCATTTTGTATCTTTAAACATTTTAGTCTTCTTCTCAAAAACTCCCTGAACTGATTTCAACGAAATTTACCAGAAACTTTCCCTGGCCAAATATTAACCATCAGAGGGAATGATACAGTCCCCAAAAAAATCTTCCTCTCAACACTCAGATATTGTAGAATCAAATGCTCTTCATGAATGGAAGCTTCTTAAGGTGTTTTACCAAAATTGCAAACTTCAAGGGTCTTGCATTTCCCCCTGAGGAGCAGATAATGTTTACTAAAATTTACATAGGAAAAGTATATTTTTGAGCGTAATTTGGTTAACATGGGAAATATTTCAAACTTGGTTAGAATTATGAGCAAACGGTGACGGCTTCATGGAATGTCCATATTGATCCTGACTGACTCCAAGAAGCTGATGAGTGGGAACAAAAAAAAAGGTCAATTTTTTTTATATCTTCTTCTCAACCCCCAGATATGGTAGAAATAAATGTTCTTCATGGTCGGAAACTTATGATATAATCATATGATGATTATATGAAACAAATGAATTCATTTTCTGTATTTAGGAAACAAAATGAAAATTTTAGATGAGTTTCCTGAGTCTCATATGAAACGAAAACAAATTAAAGATACTTTTTATCATATAACTCAGGTTTTAAAGTGAAAATATGAAAGACAAAATTAAACAGAGACATCAGCAAAAATGTGAAAAACAAAATCAAGCAGGGACATCAGTAAAATGTGAAAGACACAAACAGAAATGTCAGAAAAATGTGAAAGACAAAATTAAACAGAGACGTCAGAAAAATGTGAAAGACAAAATTAAACAGAGACATCAGTAAAAATGTTGGAGACAAAATCAACAGAGACATCAGTAAAAATGTTGGAGACAAAATCAACAGAGACATCAGTAAAAATGTGAGAGACAAAATCAACAGAGACATCAGTAAAAATGTGAGAGACAAAATTAAATTGCTCCATTTTTATTTCATGATATCATTGTCGTTATTATCACAATTTATTTCTAAGAATGAAAAATGTTGCAGGGTATTTTACACTAGTGGTAGATACTCAGAAATGTTACATGGGGAAATCTCTGGATAACAGGTGTTCTATGTGTGGTTTATGTGATAGTATTTTGAATTATTTTATACAGGTGTTCTATGTGTGGTTTATGTGATAGTATTTTGAATTATTTTATACAGGTGTTCTATGTGTGGTGCATGTGATAAAGTAGGATTTTGAATTATTTTATACAGGTGTTCTATGTGTGGTTTATGTGATAGTATATTGAATTATTTTATACAGGTGTTCTATGTGTGGTGCATGTGATAAAGTAGGATTTTGAATTATTTTATACAGGTGTTCTATGTGTGGTTTATGTGATAGTATATTGAATTATTTTATACAGGTGTTCTATGTGTGGTTTATGTGATAGTATTTTGAATTATTTTATACAGGTGTTCTATGTGTGGTTTATGTGATAGTATATTGAATTATTTTATACAGGTGTTCTATGTGTGGTTTATGTGATAGTATATTGAATTATTTTATACAGGTGTTCTATGTGTGGTTTATGTGATAGTATTTTGAATTATTTTATACAGGTGTTCTATGTGTGGTTTATGTGATAGTATATTGAATTATTTTATACAGGTGTTCTATGTGTGGTTTATGTGATAGTATATTGAATTATTTTATACAGGTGTTCTATGTGTGGTGCATGTGATAAAGTAGGATTTTTAATTATTTTATACAGGTGTTCTATGTGTGGTTTATGTGATAGTATATTGAATTATTTTATACAAGTGTTCTATGTGTGGTGCATGTGATAAAGTAGGATTTTGAATTATTTTATACAGGTGTTCTATGTGTGGTTTATGTGATAGTATATTGAATTATTTTATACAGGTGTTCTATGTGTGGTTTATGTGATAGTATTTTGAATTATTTTATACAGGTGTTCTATGTGTGGTTTATGTGATAGTATATTGAATTATTTTATACAGGTGTTCTATGTGTGGTGCATGTGATAAAGTAGGATTTTGAATTATTTTATACAGGTGTTCTATGTGTGGTTTATGTGATAAAGTAGGATTTTGAATTATTTTATACAGGTGTTCTATGTGTGGTTTATGTGATAGTATTTTGAATTATTTTATACAGGTGTTCTATGTGTGGTGCATGTGATAAAGTAGGATTTTGAATTATTTTATACAGGTGTTCTATGTGTGGTTTATGTGATAGTATATTGAATTATTTTATACAGGTGTTCTATGTGTGGTGCATGTGATAAAGTAGGATTTTGAATTATTTTATACAGGTGTTCTATGTGTGGTTTATGTGATAGTATATTGAATTATTTTATACAGGTGTTCTATGTGTGGTGCATGTGATAAAGTAGGATTTTTAATTATTTTATACAGGTGTTCTATGTGTGGTTTATGTGATAGTATATTGAATTATTTTATACAGGTGTTCTATGTGTGGTTTATGTGATAGTATTTTGAATTATTTTATACAGGTGTTCTATGTGTGGTTTATGTGATAGTATATTGAATTATTTTATACAGGTGTTCTATGTGTGGTGCATGTGATAAAGTAGGATTTTGAATTATTTTATACAGGTGTTCTATGTGTGGTTTATGTGATAGTATATTGAATTATTTTATACAGGTGTTCTATGTGTGGTTTATGTGATAGTATATTGAATTATTTTATACAGGTGTTCTATGTGTGGTTTATGTGATAGTATTTTGAATTATTTTATACAGGTGTTCTATGTGTGGTTTATGTGATAGTATATTGAATTATTTTATACAGGTGTTCTATGTGTGGTGCATGTGATAAAGTAGGATTTTGAATTATTTTATACAGGTGTTCTATGTGTGGTTTATGTGATAGTATATTGAATTATTTTATACAGGTGTTCTATGTGTGGTTTATGTGATAAAGTAGGATTTTGAATTATTTTATACAGGTGTTCTATGTGTGGTTTATGTGATAGTATATTGAATTATTTTATACAGGTGTTCTATGTGTGGTTTATGTGATAAAGTAGGATTTTGAATTATTTTATACAGGTGTTCTATGTGTGGTTTATGTGATAGTATTTTGAATTATTTTATACAGGTGTTCTATGTGTGGTTTATGTGATAGTATTTTGAATTATTTTATACAGGTGTTCTATGTGTGGTTTATGTGATAGTATTTTGAATTATTTTATACAGGTGTTCTATGTGTGGTTTATGTGATAGTATTTTGAATTATTTTATACAGGTGTTCTATGTGTGGTTTATGTGATAAAGTAGGATTTTGAATTATTTTATACAGGTGTTCTATGTGTGGTTTATGTGATAAAGTAGGATTTTGAATTATTTTATACAGGTGTTCTATGTGTGGTTTATGTGATAGTATTTTGAATTATTTTATACAGGTGTTCTATGTGTGGTTTATGTGATAGTATTTTGAATTATTTTATACAGGTGTTCTATGTGTGGTTTATGTGATAGTATTTTGAATTATTTTATACAGGTGTTCTATGTGTGGTTTATGTGATAGTATTTTGAATTATTTTATACAGGTGTTCTATGTGTGGTTTATGTGATAAAGTAGGATTTTGAATTATTTTATACAGGTGTTCTATGTGTGGTTTATGTGATAAAGTAGGATTTTGAATTATTTTATACAGGTGTTCTATGTGTGGTTTATGTGATAAAGTAGGATTTTGAATTATTTTATACAGGTGTTCTATGTGTGGTTTATGTGATAGTATTTTGAATTATTTTATACAGGTGTTCTATGTGTGGTTTATGTGATAGTATTTTGAATTATTTTATGCAGGTGTTCTATGTGTGGTATATGTGATAAAGTAGGATTTTGAATTGTTTTCTACAGGTGTTCTATGTGTGGTTTGATGCTCCTATTGGCTACATCTCCATCACAGCTAACTACACAGACCAGTGGGAGAAATGGTGGAAAAACCCAGACATGGTAAGGATACACTTAGATTAATGGACACCGGTAAACATTCACCCCAGGGGATTTCTGTGTCCTCCCCAACCACTGTCCATTTTTGTTCAGTCTCAAATTTGTCCTAGAATACATCTAACATATATTTCAGCTTCAAAACCAAACTTTAACTCCAACATTTTTATGTAATCTAATTGAAATTTCAACAGCAGCAAAACTTTCTCAATATACAGTACTAGATTTTATTACCTTGAAGTTAAGTGAACAGCCACTGGAAGTTACAGAGTATGTATTTGTTATACTTTTATTGATCAAAATACTGAAAGTACTCAAATGGGAAGACCTTGTTGAGCAAAAACAAATGGCAAAAGTGAAATTCTCCATGTCTATTTATAGGGTTGCTGTTTTACAAGTGATCTTTACAGATTTACTGTTAGTATGGCAACTGTTTTACACAAAGAATCAACTCTCAACCAAAGCACTGATTCAGAAATAAATCAATGAAATAAGTTCGAAGTCAATTCTTTTTGCAAACTCTGGTCAGAAACTTCCTAAATTATGACTAAGTATGATAAAATCAATAGAACTTTTCAACTCGACCCAAGACCCTCGCAACTACCAAGATACTTTAATACTTGGTTCCAAGTCCTCTTGTCTGGATACTCAAAGTTATGCAGGGTAATAAATAGGAAGTTGGTAGGGACCAATAACAGTCCATTTTACAGGATCATATTACATCAGTAGTTGATCCGTTTGTTGTAAAACTGTTGTAAAATGTATGTCTTGGAGAAACCTAAGAAGAGGATGACAAACAGAATGATGCAGTTGAATTCATAATATGGCTCATGTGATTGGCCTTTTCTGTTTTTAAAGGTCACAGGGGTCAAGTGTGTTAAAATCTTCAAACGACTTCTTTTCAAGAACAAGAATGTCCAGGCTGTTGATATTGGTTCTTTCATATAAGTGGATGAAGGGCTACCAATTTGTTCAAATAACTGACCTTGACCTATATTCAATATCTCTTGGGTTAAGTGAGTTGAGATCTGAAGATGATTTTTAATTTTGTTTTGACAAGCAATAGATTCAAATTAATGGTACTTGTGTGGTAGCATGTAAGAAGAATATGATTTCAAGTCTGCAGAAAAAGTTTTTGTGAACCAACGCTGTATATAGAGAAGTTGAGCAATATATGTTTGGCCTATTTGACCTCTTTCATATATAGGTCTTTATAGTCAGATGACCCTTAAGTCCTCATGTTATTTGATATAATCTTTCAAATTTAGACCTTCCACGTGATAAATCAGATTGCATATTAATCTGTAGATATGAGCTGCTTTTTACTTGTACATAAAAAGCCTGATGTAACACAGTCATTTAAGAAAGCAGTGAACATGTGAGATTTAAGTTTGATCAGTCCGAGGAAACAGAGTTATTGAGTGGTAACTAGATACTATAAGATAATGAGTTCACAAAACAAATTTTACCGGACGTTTTTTTACACTAATGAATCAACAATATCTTCTTTGTAAGTTGTATGTAGAGAAGTATGGATGTTTAGTTATGAATTGATCATTAATGTACCCCAAACACCAAATTGAAAAGTGGCTGTAATTCATTGATTTTAGTTCCATACACTGCCGAGAGATGGAGGTTGAGTACAATTAACAATTTTCAACCAGCCGAACGACAGTAATATGTAGAAAAACATAGGTGTTCATATAAAAAATTCAGGACATTATTTTCATGATCTGTTTTTCATTTTGTTTGCTTGACCTTGACCTTCTTTTTGTAGCCATAGCAACTCAAATAACAAACTGTGACTGGAGATTTTACTTTAAAGCTTTTGCTGCCTGCTTCCTAAATCAAGTATTTTAATCTTCCATTGTTTCAGGTGGAAATGTACAACTTCCTCGGGAAAGACAACGTGCCGTTTCACTCCGTCATCTTCCCTTGTACGTTACTGGGAGCAAATGACAACTACACCATAGTCAACCATATGGTGGCTACAGGTAAGTCATACAAACTGCTCCAACAACACCGTACTACACCATAGTCATCCATATGGTGGCTACAGGAAAGTCATACAAACTGCTCCAACAACACCGTACTACACCATAGTCAACCATATGGTGGCTACAGGTAAGTCATACAAACTGCTGTTCTACACCATAGTCAACCATATGGTGGCTACAGATAAGTCATACAAACTGCTGTACTACACCATAGTCAACCATATGGTGGCTACAGATAAGTCATACAAACTGCTGTACTACACCATAGTCAACCATATGGTGGCTACAGATAAGTCATACAAACTGCTCCAACAACACCGTACTACACCATAGTCAACCATATGGTGGCTACAGGTAAGTCATACAAACTGCTGTACTACACCATAGTCAACCATATGGTGGCTACAGATAAGTCATACAAACTGCTGTACTACACCATAGTCAACCATATGGTGGCTACAGGTAAGTCATACAAACTGCTCCAACAACACCGTACTACACCATAGTCAACCATATGATGGCTACAGGTAAGACATACAAACTGCTCCTACAACACTGTACTACACCATAGTCAACCATATGGTGGCTACAGGTAATATGATGTAAACACTGATGGATTTCATAGAAATGTGATCTTTATAAGGAGGTAGTCTTTATATACAGGTCCAAAAACTGTAAACTGCTTTACTCTTGGGTCTGAAAGCAAAAACCAGTGGCCCCTATAGAGAGGTATTTGTTAAGGACTTTATGTAAAGGTATTGTTAGAGATACAGTCAAACCTGTCAGAACGGCCACATTAGTTAGATGGCCACCTGCTTATAACGGCTGTTTTCAGACTCTCCCAATCGTTTTTGCTCATTAATGATACCTTATTTAATGGCCACCTTCCTAATGCAGCCAGTGGCCACCCTTTTCATCCCCAAACTTGTGATCGAACAAGTCATTTGACAAGCTTTCTTGACAGTGAGTCACGTTTTCTCGCCACATGAACATTCCTACAAAGAAACAGCTGATGGCACATAAACACAATTCACCATGCATTTTATATTGAGTTTGATTTCATTTACGTCACTGGTAACACAATACAGGCATATTATCACTATTGTGGCAAATCGCTTTGAAATATGAGCAGCAAACAAAAAACTTTAACTCTTGAAGAGCGCTACAATGCATTTTCGATGCTTGAGACTGGAAAAAGTACACGGGCCGTTGCTGAAGACCTCGGTGTTGGCGGGACGCAAGTTCTCCAAATATTAAAAAGAAAAGCCAAAATTTTTGAGGAAATAGAAAATAATGTGTTCGGTGAAAGGAAAAGAAAAATGATTTAATGTGGAAGTGGTTCCAGGAGGGGGTTACTCAGAGAGTGAATGTGACTGGACCCATGATCAAAGAGAGGGCGTTAAAATTTGCCAAAGACTTGACACATTCAAAGCATCAAACAGATGGTTATCGTGTATTTATAGTTGTGTCATAAAATAAAGATTGGTCTGTCTTCAAATTACTTGCTAACAAGATAATAAATGATAACAGATGATGTTTTATATCTTATTATTAAACTGTATTCAAATGTCAATGTGCAAATTGCCGCAACATGAGTTCGAAAATAAGGAACCTCAATTAAGAGGCCACCTCTCTATAAAGGCCACTTTCATAATTTCCCAACAGTGGCCGTTTAATACAGGTTAGACTGTATATGACTTTTATAGACAATATTTGTTAGATACAAAACCTTAGTAGATTTAGTTTGTATTTAGACCATAACAACATCAAGTTGAATGTTTTGTTAGGTCTAGATGATGGTGATTAGTTCAGATTCAAGGTTATACCTGACCGACAATAAAAGGTATTAGTGTTAGAACCACTTTGATCTTTTCTGTACATATTTGGAGTGCTTTCTTTCAGCTATTTTTATTGAATTTTGTCCATTGCCTTTACAGATATTTTTATTGAATTTTCCAAAAGCCATTGCCTTTACAGAATACATTAAATTATGTAAGACCAGAGACACAGGTAAGGGAGATAATGATTATTGTATACAGATTCTACCTCCTGTATGTACGACCAGAGACACAGGTAAGGGAGATAATGATGATTGTATACAGATTGTACCTCCTGTATGTAACAAGACACAGGTAAGGGAGATAATGATGATTGTATACAGATTTTACCTCCTGTATGTACGACCAGAGACACAGGTAAGGGAGATAATGATTGTATACAGATTTTACCTCCTGTATGTACGACCAGAGACACAGGTAAGGGAGATAATGATGATTGTATACAGATTTTACCTCCTGTATGTACGACCAGAGACACAGGTAAGGGAGATAATGATGATTGTATACAGATTCTACCTCCTTTATGTACGACCAGAGACACAGGTATGGTAGATAATGATGTTTGTTTACTGATTTTTCCTCATGTATGTACGACCAGAGACACAGGTAAGGGAGATAATGATTGTATACCTGTATGTACGACCAGAGACACTAAGGGAGATAATGATGTACCTCCGACCAGAGACACAGGTAAGGGAGATAATGATTATTGTATACAGATTTTACCTCCTGTATGTACGACCAGAGACACAGGTAAGGGAGATGAATTGTATGATTCTACCTCCTGTATTGTAAGGGAGATAATGAGATTGTTACAGATTCTACCTCCTGTATGTACGACCAGAGACACAGGTAAGGGAGATAATGATGATTGTATACAGATTTTACCTCCTGTATGTACGACCAGAGACACAGGTAAGGGAGATAATGATGATTGTATACAGATTCTACCTCCTGTATGTACGACCAGAGACACATTGTATACAGATTCTACCTCCTGTATGTACGACCAGAGACACAGGTAAGGGAGATAATGATGATTGTATACAGATTTTACCTCCTGTATGTACGACCAGAGACACAGGTAAGGGAGATAATGATGATTGTATACAGATTTTACCTCCTGTATGTACGACCAGAGACACAGGTAAGGGAGATAATGATGATTGTATACAGATTTTACCTCCTGTATGTACGACCAGAGACACAGGTAAGGGAGATAATGATGATTGTATACAGATTCTACCTCCTGTATGTACGACCAGAGACACAGGTAAGGGAGATAATGATGATTGTATACAGATTCTACCTCCTGTATGTACGACCAGAGACACAGGTAAGGGAGATAATGATGATTCTATTGTATACAGATTCTACCTCCTGTATGTACGACCAGAGACACAGGTAAGGGAGATAAATTGTATACAGATTCTACCTCCTGTATTGTATACAGATTCTACCTCCTGTATGTACGACCAGAGACACAGGTAAGGGAGATAATGATGATTGTATACAGATTCTACCTCCTGTATGTACGACCAGAGACACATGATTGTATACAGATTCTACCTCCTGTATGTAGACCAGAGACACAGGTAAGGGAGATAATGATGATTGTATACAGATTCTACCTCCTGTATGTACGACCAGAGACACAGGTAAGGGAGATAATGATGATTGTATACAGATTTTACCTCCTGTATGTACGACCAGAGACACAGGTAAGGGAGATAATGATGATTGTATACAGATTTTACCTCCTGTACGACCAGAGACACAGGTAAGGGAGATAATGATTGTATACAGATTCTACCTCCTGTATGTACGACCAGAGACACAGGTAAGGGAGATAATGATTGTATACAGATTTTACCTCCTGTATGTACGACCAGAGACACAGGTAAGGGAGATAATGATGATTGTATACAGATTCTACCTCCTGTATGTACGACCAGAGACACAGGTAAGGGAGATAATGATTGTATACAGATTTTACCTCCTGTATGTACGACCAGAGACACAGGTAAGGGAGATAATGATGATTGTATACAGATTACCTCCTGTACCAGAGACACAGGTAAGGGAGATAATGATGATTGTATACAGATTCTACCTCCAGACCAGAGACACAGGTAAGGGAGATAATGATGATTGTATACAGATTCTACCTCCTGTATGTACGACCAGAGACACAGGTAAGGGAGATAATGATGATTGTATGACCTCCTGTATGTACGACCAGAGACACAGGTAAGAGACACAGGTACCTCCTGTAGTACGACCAGAGACACAGGTAATGATGATTGTATACAGATTCTACCTCCTGTATGTACGACCAGAGACACAGGTAAGGGAGATAATGATGATTGTATACAGATTCTACCTCCTGTATGTACGACCAGAGACACAGGTAAGGGAGATAATGATGATTGTATACAGATTCTACCTCCTGTATGTACGACCAGAGACACAGGTAAGGGAGATAATGATTATTGTATACAGATTCTACCTCCTGTATGTACGACCAGAGACACAGGTAAGGGAGATAATGATGATTGTATACAGATTCTACCTCCTGTATGTACGACCAGAGACACAGGTAAGGGAGATAATGTATTGTACCTCCTGTATGTACGACCAGAGACACAGGTAAGGGAGATAATGATGATTGTATACAGATTCTACCTCCTGTATGTACGACCAGAGACACAGGTAAGGGAGATAATGATGATTGTATACAGATTCTACCTCCTGTATGTACGACCAGAGACACAGGTAAGGGAGATAATGATGATTGTATACAGATTCTACCTCCTGTATGTACGACCAGAGACACAGGTAAGGGAGATAATGATGATTGTATACAGATTCTACCTCCTGTATGTACGACCAGAGACACAGGTAAGGGAGATAATGATTGTATACAGATTCTACCTCCTGTATGTACGACCAGAGACACTGATAATGATTGTATACAGATTTTACCTCCTGTATGTACGACCAGAGACACAGGTAAGGGAGATAATGATTATTGTATACAGATTCTACCTCCTGTATGTACGACCAGAGACACAGGTAAGGGAGATAATGATGATTGTATACAGATTCTACCTCCTGTTTATGAAGCCTATTTAAACCACTGTGATGTTCTAAAACCACTCTCTGGCTTTGATTCAGTACTGTGTTTGATGCCTGGATTAAGTTAGGGTTATGTTCTGTATATTATTTCATTTTTCTGACTTTCTGTTCCCAGGACAGCAGTTTCAGCTGGGATGACTTCTTGTTGAAAAACAACAGCGAGCTTCTCAACAACCTGGGCAACTTCATCAACAGGTAACATCTACTTGAATGAAGCTTATTGAATACAGTGACTAGTTGTCAGTTTTATCGTGATATTTGTATTCAGTGTTTATCAGACTATTACTTTTGACTTCCGAGGTACACATTTAATATTGAAGATAAAATGTCAGCATTTTCCTCGCCAAATCTAGTTAAGAACAAATATCAGCATAGAGAAAATACACTTATCTTTTTATGTCAAAATTGAAACGAATGTGATAAAATTTCATTTTCATTCTAGGGCCCTGATGTTCTTAAGTAATAACTTTGAGGGCACCATACAAGAAATGGTTCTTGCAGATGAAGACAAGCAGCTTCTGGCACAGGTCACACGAGAGCTTTGCACGTATATAGAAAACATGGAGCAAGCAAAGTAAGGAGTCAGGGTCAGAGGAGAGCTTCATAAATATACACAATGTAGAAAGCATGGTATAATGAAAACTTTGAGAAGGCAAAATAAGTATGACCAAGTCATTAAAAGTAATGCTTTAAAAGGTAGAAGCAGATAAAACAATTGTTTTAGCACATCATTTAGATTGTTAAAAAGAATGTTCATATTTGGAAAATATTCTTCTGGTTTATTCTCTTGTGTGTATCCCAAGAAAAATTTCAGCATATAAACCTTGATATGTATTGTAGGATACGGGACTCCATCAGAAACATTCTAAGTATCTCTCGCCTCGGCAATCAGTTCATGCAGACCAATAAACCATGGGTCCTCGTCAAAGGCAGTGACGCTGACAAGTAAGTCAAACCCTTCATCTGAATCTTGATTACTTGTGTAGATATGTTCCTAGTTAGTTTGCAAGAGAAGTATTGATTATCAAGATAGTCAAGAAACATGTAATGTGGTATTGTTGCACGACTTATACTGGGTCAGTTTGCTTACCATCATCTACCTAACTCTATATAACTGTCATTGTTACAGGAAGCATGCTAGGTCAGTGGTCAGTTTGCTGACCACCTTCTACCTAACTCTATATAACTGTCATTGTTACAGGAAACGTGCTGGATCAGTGGTCAGTTTAGCAGGAAACATCTCCTGCCTGCTTTCTGTGTTACTACAACCTTACATGCCAGCAGTAAGCGATACCATTCAACAACAGCTCAAATGCCCGAAGGAGGCCAATGTTATCCATCCTGAGTTTGTCTGTCACCTGTTACCTGGTCACAAGATAGGACAGGTGAGACTAGGGTAAAATGTTAAAGGTTATAGGACAAGTAAGATTGAGGTAAATGTTGAAGGCCATAGGACAGGTGAGACTAGGGTAAAATGTTGAAGGCCATAGGACAGTTGAGACTCAGGTAAAACGTTAAAAGTTATAGGACAAGCAAGACTAGAGTAAATGTTAAAGGTTATAAGACAGATGAGATGAGGGTGAGATGAAACTAGGATAAGATGGTAAATTTCAAGAACTTGATAAGGTTTATCACTTGTTACATTTTGAAAGGCATACTAATATCAGATTAATCTTTTTCCGGGTAGCCGAGCCCATTGTTTGAGAAAATAGCCACTGCAAAGATGGATGCTTTGAAAGAAAAGTTTGCTGGAGCACCAGCCCCAGAAAAAAAGGTGAGTCCCTTTGTGATGTACTTTGTGATGATGGTGATGGTGTTCCCAAGGTATTCACATCAACAGACAGGCAAAAATGTTATGAAATATTTTGACAATGTTAATGCTAACTGGAGTCCTTACACAACTTACCAATCACTTATTTGGATAAAATGATTTTTTAAAACTGCTACAAAGTGTAAAAAGACACAGCAAAAGGCTTCTACAGTGTACTGACATCAAATACCTAGCAATATATCTACTATCTGTACACCAGCACCTAGATGAACATGATAAAGACTGAATTTGTTGAGGTAAGTATGTTAAATGAAGTACCAGTTAAGAGGATATTTCTGAGGTCAGTAATAAGTGGATTTTTAAACTATCAAAGTATGAAATCATATTAAAACCTCACGGTATAACAACAAGTGAAAATTTGTCCCTGAATTCTTGTATCTTGGTTTAAGCCAGTGTTTTTTACCGCTCCATACTTCAAATTATTCCAGTTTCTCCTATATCTCATGTGTCAGCTTAATCAAATCCTCCTTCCTTTATCAACAGGAGCCAAAGTCATCAAAATCTACAGGTGGCACTGCTGTAGCTAAAGGACCATGTGACCCTGCAGAGGTAGCACGACTCACAGAAGAAGTTGCAAAACAGGTAAGGGGAGAACATAGCATTAGGAAAACACTGTTGTATTAGGTGGAAGGTGATAATAGTTGTATTGAATTATTTCCCAAATATTCAAAAGTTTGTGTCATGTTGATTGTATTTTCTAACATAACTGGTCACCCTTTCAGGGCTCAGTGGTTAGGGATATAAAAGCCAAGAAGGCTGATAAGAGCGAAATTGATGCACAAGTTGCCAAGTTACTGGATCTGAAAAAGAGACTAGCCCTTGCTCAGGGCCAAGATGCTGTTCCTGCTGCAGGAGGAAACAAAAAGAAAGTAAGTGAACAACCGAGATTGTGTCATTCTTTAATTTTATTTTCATTTGTCTCTCGGTACAATAAATCTGCATGTCCACTGATTTTTTATGTGTAACTTTTCCCTCTTGAACTTTTTAATAATATTGTAACTTCCCTGATTATTCAGCCCATAAATGTTTCCATTTTCAGGATAAAAAAGCAGCTAAACAGCCAACCAGTGGCCAGGGCAGTGCACCTCCTGCCAGTGCAACACCAAAAGCCTCATCAAATGGACCAGACAAATCACCCAAGGTCATACAACTGACTGAAGAGGTTGCTAAACAGGTAATTAAGTCACCTTGTTTCATTTTCCAAAGAGATGATTCTGTATTAGGCTGTACATGTAAGCCTTGGGTCAAACTCTGCTTTCAGGCCCCAGTTTTCTAACAATTCACAAGTGCATTCCTATTTTCATTGATGAAAAGATAAGGTCTTACTCTGCCTATTGAGGAAAAGACAGGATGTCATTATTTTTGTCTTTCATTTTGTACTCCATCTCAAATTTGTCATTACACCATAGAAAGTATATTAAAAGGAGAATATGGTACATAATGTAATTAATTCATCATCACCTCTGTTTGATGTAAAGCATTAAATTTCAACCCTCTATGTAACATTTCTGAAGTTCAGCCCTGAGTTAATTTCTTTTAAAATCTTACTGTCAGACTGAAACAACTCGATGTGAAAGATTTGATTAAATCGCCATATGTATCTAACAGCTAACGGTATCTTTCTCCACCCCAAGATGAAGAAGTCGCTTAACTTCTTGATCTGAAAAGTAAATATTTTCTGTGAACTTATGAATGGAACAACAAATGAAGGTCCTAAATATTGTATAAATTTATCAAGAACATAAAAAGATGAAAATATTTGTTGCTAAATTGATCATCTGTTACAGGGAAATATGGTGAGAGATTTGAAAAGCAAGAAAGCAGACAAGAGTCAGATAGATGGAGAAGTCGCTAAACTTCTTGATCTAAAAAGACAGTTGGCACTGGCCCAAGGTCAAGACCCTGATGCAGCTGTTGGGGGAGGTAAAAAGAAGAGCAAGAAGAAGTGAAGAAGAAGGAGGAAATAAAAACAGCCAGACTGAATTAATCAGGATCCAATGTCTGATAATATTATTCGAACATGAGGAAAAGACAGGTTTTTGATGAGAGAAACTTTTGTAGACATCTTATTTACAAATTTTTAGTTTGAAAATAAGATTGGTAAGCGATATATTTAGTGAGAGTTGCATCTCAACAGAAGGCAGACTAGATCCAATCAAATGGGGTTGCCATTTGATATGTATGTGAGGAATGAATGTGTAATGGATTGATAAACATTAGAAAATATTTATCTGAAACTTAAGGATTCATTAACCTGGTTACAAATAGACATACTATTCTTACATATCTTGTTGTATCCATTAAGGTAAATCCTCAAACATTTAAAAAATTCTTGAGAGCTATATTGTGTTGAATTGTTTTATATCTGATGTTAAAATGTGTTGGTAGCTCCTCCAGGTTTTGTAACAGTTATTTATTTATTGGTCTGGATTGTCGTTAATTTGACACGGATTGAAATAAAACCAACAAGTGTAGCTTGTGTTGGATGTTTGTGAGTACTAATGTATAAACATCTTTGTCTATAGATATTTATATATTAATGCCTGTGTTATAGATGGTAATGAAAAATATCTAAAACAACCGTTTACCAGAATATTGATGATGTATTTGTGATTGGTGATGCAGTTATTTCTAGTGGAAATGAAATATATTTTAAGGTAGTAATATTGCAAAGATGTTATACCATACCCAATCATCTGTAATATTTCACAGTCATATAATGATGGTGATCAGAAATTTCCCTGTAGTTTTTATCTAACTGCACCCTTTATATTCCCGTTGTAAAATTTCATTCAGTGCCTTATCAACTGTAAAATATAATTACAGCAGAGCTCAATAAATGTCTCTACTTTCATTTTACTTCGTCACCTGTTTACCATAATTTGCATCATTTTTCCATATATTTCAAACTTATGCCTGTCAGCTTTGCCCTAAATATTATCATTTCATACATTTATAAAACAGTATAACAAATGGCAGCTAATTTACATAATGATATATATTTTTTCCTTTCCATTTTCTGCTCACAAAACAACAAATGTTATGTCAGATACAAAGGTCACATTTGGAGCTGTGTTTTTGAATCCTACTCAACACAGAACACAAGAATGCTGCAGATGCATTTCTTAAATTGGGTCTAAGGTCAAAGTAGAGGTCACAGTGATCGACTGGTAGAATATAGGCTATAGTACCCAATAGAAAATGAAAAGTAAATGATAATTTGAAAATATCAGTTTGCAGCACAGTGATAAGCTATCCTCATTGGCCAGGACTTAATAAATGATCAGAAAAAACCTGATGTAGAGTAGTCTGTTGTATACTTGATTTCATGATCAGCTGTCAACTATTTATATACTGTGTTACAGATGTGGCAAGGTCTTTGTTACATATTCTTATCAACTTGTCGAAGATAGGGTTTCAAAGTGGCCTAAGGAGCTAAATACAACAGCTTGTATGTGCTATTGGTAGTCTCTGTAGTCGTACGTTTACAAATAGGCATTTCAGTCCACTCATGTACATACGCAAGAATTTATCACACTTTTTTATGCCAAAAAGGAAAAAAAATGTATAGTTTTTGTAGAATAGCTACAATATCATTCATTCGGGGTTTTTTTGAGAAAACTAAACATGAACATGCTTATAATAACATTATAGATAGCATATATGCAAAGCAAGAAGTCACAGTTTTGAATGCATTGGGAACAGGAGATAAAAATGTGATGATTTTGAGAAAGAACATGCTCTTTTTACATTGAGTAGAATTTTCTGAAGATCAAGAATACAATATCCTATTGGAGTTCATTTGTTAACATCCTAAAAAACATCTTCAAACAGTAGATAATAAATTGCTTAAGTAATTAGTAGTTTTGTGTAAAGTAAATAAGATTAATTGATAATACATGTATTGCTATGTATGGTTTTAAGGAAAAACAAGCAAAGGGGAAATCTGTTTTGGATTGAAGTATTGTAAAGTAAATTGAAATAAAAGTTTTACATTTGGTTTTATTAGTACAAAGGGACTCACTTACACGAAAAACCTACAAAAGTGAAATTTCAACTGTCAAAATGGCCGTTATATTCCCTGATAACCACAAAAATTAAAAGTTCTTACAACTGCTGAATCTATATTCTAACAAGAATGATAAGTGATTTTTTTAAGTTTGTTTAAACACTAAACCACCTTATCTGGAATCCAATAAGGCTTCTTTGTCCTAGAATCTGATTGGCCATGTCAGTGTTGGTCTACATTCTACAGTAATGTAGTTCTAATTGTCCAAGTCGACCATACCTAATGCCATGTAGATGACAGTTGGTAGCAAAATCTACATTACTTGGGGTTTGTCTTAAACCTTTTGACTTTTGGATGCAAAAGCTTTCTGGTTTCCTAATGCATGTAGTATCCTAAATAGTACAGGATACAGGCTACGTGGGCACATACTCCCATGGTTCTCTGTCCAGTAGGACACTGGCAATGTGCTCCAGAACATTTTCTCTTGTAAGATGTTCATGTCCCATAAAGAACGGAACAATGGTTGTTTCCAATGCTTTTACTGTGGAATGAAATGTTTTCGATATACTGGAAATTGACATGTTACTACAGTTGCACACTGTTTCCATGATATGTCAGTCTTTATATCTACCCAGAACATTAGTAAATGCATCCTCGTGGTTTGGAGTATAAATACCAGTGCCAATAGAGGATGAACAATAAGAAAGAAATGTTAGAAACTGTGTTTTTATCCAGCCAGTCCAGGCTTTACAATCTGCATCATCCGGAGAGGAGAAACACTCCTGCTTTGATAGCATATGTAATATCTCCAAGAGATCATTGATAATCTCCTTTAATCTGGAAGGTAGGTGGGAAGGCGACATTTCTCTTTCATCAGTGCAGATTTCAACATTAGGATTAAGATCTTTCCATATGATATGATGTGAACTTGGAGGCCAAGGACACCACAGTTTGTGATGAAAGATGAATGGTGTATTCCTCGCTTGGGCACTAATTGTCAAGTTTGGATTGAAACTCTTCCTACATAATAAATGTGGGAAGGGTCGGTTATAAGATAGATCCTCTATGGATAATAGTGGGATAATTCTCCAAGTATCATCAACACCAATGTTTTGACCTTCAGGTTGTGGTTTTCTTTTCAGATAATTCTTAAAACACTTTCCACACGTACCAATCTCTTGGTCATCAGTAAAGTTATTGCTATCTGCTTTTAAAATATCTCAAACAAGCAATTGTGCTGAGGAAGTCTTATATTTCTATCAGATTTCTTGGTTTTGATGTCTCTCTTAAAGACTTCACAACCCGCACCTACACATCTACCTCTCGTTGTGGTAACAGTACTGTATTAAAACCCCCGCGTAGCAGAAAATGTAGAAAGTAATGTCAAAAGAACAATGGGTGATATCGGAGTATAAGGGGTATATAATATATTGTTGGAAGGTTTGTATAGTAGCTGTCGGTCATATAATATATTGTATTTAACGTCCTTATTATAATTCACATATATAGTCATTTAAAGACATCTCAGCATTACTTGTATGCGTGCTAGGGGTTGTTATATATAGGAAGGGGACATGTGTACATGAAGGTTTGGAGTGTAACAGGGTGGTCTCCTATATCTACTATCATTCAACAAGTCATTGGGGTGTAACAGAATGTTCTCCTGTGTCTACTGTCGTTCAACAAGTCATTGGGGTGTAACAGAATGTTCTCCTGTGTCTACTGTCGTTCAGCAAGTCATTGGGGTGTAACAGAATGTTCTCCTATATCTACTGTCGTTCAACAAGTCATTGGGGTGTAAAAGAATGTTCTCCTATATCTACTGTCGTTCAACAAGTCATTGGGGTGTAACAGAATGTTCTCCTATATCTACTGTCGTTCAACAAGTCATTGGGGTGTAACAGAATGTTCTCCTGTGTCTACTGTCGTTCAGCAAGACATTGGGGTGTAACAGAATGGTGTCCTATGTCTACTGTCGTTCCACAAGTCATTGGGGTGTAACAGAATGTTCTCCTGTGTCTACTGTCGTTCAACAAGTCATTGGGGTGTAACAGAATGTTCTCCTGTGTCTACTGTCGTTCAGCAAGTCATTGGGGTGTAACAGAATGTTCTCCTATATCTACTGTCGTTCAACAAGTCATTGGGGTGTAACAGAATGTTCTCCTATATCTACTGTCGTTCAACAAGTCATTGGGGTGTAACAGAATGTTCTCCTATATCTACTGTCGTTCAACAAGTCATTGGGGTGTAACAGAATGTTCTCCTATATCTACTGTCGTTCAACAAGTCATTGGGGTGTAACAGAATGTTCTCCTGTGTCTACTGTCGTTCAACAAGTCATTGGGGTGTAACAGAATGTTCTCCTGTGTCTACTGTCGTTCAACAAGTCATTGGGGTGTAACAGAATGTTCTCCTGTGTCTACTGTCGTTCAACAAGTCATTGGGGGTGTAACAGAATGGTGTCCTAGATCTACTGTCGTTCCACAAGTCATTGGGGTGTAACAGGGTTGTGTCCTATATCTACTGTCGTTCAACAAGTCATTGGGGTGTAACAGAATGTTCTCCTGTGTCTACTGTCGTTCAACAAGTCATTGGGGTGTAACAGAATGTTCTCCTGTGTCTACTGTCGTTCAATAAGTCATTGGGGTGTAACAGAATGTTCTCCTGTGTCTACTGTCGTTCAACAAGTCATTGGGGTGTAACAGAATGTTCTCCTGTGTCTACTGTCGTTCAACAAGTCATTGGGGTGTAACAGAATGTTCTCCTGTGTCTACTGTCGTTCAACAAGTCATTGGGGTGTAACAGAATGGTGTCCTATGTCTACTGTCGTTCAACAAGTCATTGGGGTGTAACAGAATGGTGTCCTATGTCTACTGTCGTTCAACAAGTCATTGGGGTGTAACAGAATGTTCTCCTATATCTACTGTCGTTCAACAAGTCATTGGGGTGTAACAGAATGTTCTCCTATATCTACTGTCGTTCAACAAGTCATTGGGGTGTAACAGAATGTTCTCCTGTGTCTACTGTCGTTCAGCAAGACATTGGGGTGTAACAGAATGGTGTCCTATGTCTACTGTCGTTCCACAAGTCATTGGGGTGTAACAGAATGTTCTCCTGTGTCTACTGTCGTTCAACAAGTCATTGGGGTGTAACAGAATGTTCTCCTATGTCTACTGTCGTTCAACAAGTCATTGGGGTGTAACAGAATGTTCTCCTATATCTACTGTCGTTCAATAAGTCATTGGGGTGTAACAGAATGTTCTCCTATATCTACTGTCGTTCAACAAGTCATTGGGGTGTAACAGAATGTTCTCCTGTGTCTACTGTCGTTCAACAAGTCATTGGGGTGTAACAGAATGTTCTCCTGTGTCTACTGTCGTTCAACAAGTCATTGGGGTGTAACAGAATGTTCTCCTGTGTCTACTGTCGTTCAACAAGTCATTGGGGTGTAACAGAATGGTGTCC